GGAACCCCCAAGGGTAAATCTCCATACCTTTAGTCAGGGAACATAATAGTATCAAAATCCATTGAAATTATATTTCCTAAGCTGTACTGACTCCACACACCCCGTCTCTCTCCAGGCTTTTTATTTTATTGTTCTGTTTTGAAATATTAAGTTATGAAAAGGTACAAATATGACCTTCTCACCTGGAAAAACTTATTGGACCTTAAAACCACTGTTGTACCTTTGAGGGCACATTACATTGTTTGTACCTTATTGAATAAAAAATGTACCTGCACAGAACCTTTATTTCTAGCAGTGTATATTTGCCGAATTTTACTTTTCTACATAATTTTAATACAGCAGCTGTCCTTTACAATGTTTGCAAATGTCATAATGAATGTATCAACCAAAACACTCCAAATTTGCTTGGAATTAAATCTTTTTACATTAACTTACATTAAAAGTAAAGAACTTGGAGATTGATTTGGGACTTGATTTTCTTTCACCCTTAAAAAGATGGTTCTTCAAGCATTCTTTAGTAAAGAAAATGGTTCTATATAGAACCATGGACACTCAAAGAACCCTTTGCATGATTGAAGTGTTCTGTGCATCATGAAAGTGTTCTTCAGACTGATGGAGAATGTGCTGTAGATGGTTCTATATAGTGCCTTTTTGAAAAGGGTTCTATACAGCACCAAAAGGGGTTTTTCTACTGTAACAAGCTGGACATTGTAACAATAGAAGAACCCTTTTTGGTGCTATATAGAACCCATAATACTGAATGTTCTATATAGAAATCACACTCTCCATCAATCTAAAGAACCCTTTCATGATGCAAAGAACCCTTTAATCATGCAAAATGCTCTTTCAGCGTTCATGGTTCTGTATAGAGCCATTTTCTTTACTAAAGAACACTTGAAGCATCATCTTTTTGAGTTGTGTTGGACAGTGACGATATGCAAGACTACTCAACATATTTCTATTGATTTTACTTATTTCAAGTGATCATATAAGGTGAATGGTGATTTGTGTGCATACAGAGATCGTTAGAGTTTCAGGGATTAAACTGAGCTACCTAAAACAAACTGAAAGCATTAAACAGTTTAAGGCTTTGGGCTGCATATTACCAACCGTTTAGGACACAAAACACATCCAACAAGTTCTTACTAGTCTTGAATTCCTCATATATCCTCCAAGTGGCCATGCACCAATGGCAAAGTGAACACAATAAAGACAAAGTAAAAGACATATATATATTCGAACCAAATTCATATCAATACGTATTTTATTAAACATGTATAAAAACAAACATAAAAACAACGGATATTTTCAAAACTCATCAGATTAAAACAGTGCAGTACATCAAAATAAAGAAAATCGTACAAAGCTCACAAATGAGCATTCTCAACATCCCAAATACAGATTTTCAGTTTTCATTTTTTCATATGAATATAATATTTGGTCTCTCTCAGGTGCAGAACTGAAATGTTAAAGGATTCCTCTTCATCTCATTCCCTTTGCAACCTAGCTGGAGACAGAGGGAGGGATATCTGGGGTCAGTTTTTACAAACGGACCCTAATACCACTTGATGACAAGCCTCAATCAAGAGAGCAGAAGGAAATGAGCACAATTGTAAACAAAAACCTAAAATAAAAAGCAGGGATGGCTCAATGTGGTGTACTGTCATCCTCAACTTTTCTCCAAAGCCCACACTCCACCTGACTGATGATTATATAATTAAAATCACAGGGAGGAACAAGACAGTGTGATCTACACTATATATCCAAATGCATCCAGAGAGCCTCTACTAATTAGTGAATTTAGTTGCTTTAAGACGCAGAAACAGCTTATATAATCTCCATAGAAAAGCTGTCAGTACCCGACCCTCACTAATGCTCAAGAAAATCCTCACAGCAATGTTCCAACATCTAGTATAAAGCCTTCCCAGAAGAGTAGAGGCCGTTACTGCAGCACAAACTCACTATTAACACCCTTCATTTCAGAAGAAACGCTGGTGTCTACAGACTTTTGGATACACAGTGTATCAATTCTGCTGTTGCAGCTCAAAATATACTCATTTCTGTTTAACTAGCAAAGACACTCATCAGCCAATCACTGACTTTAATCTGTGATGACAGTTATATATCGGCCTTAGCAGATATTCACTTGAAGAAAAAAAAAAGAGTATCGGCCTCGGACACACGTTTAGATTTGACCAATATTTTAAACCGATATTTGATTGTGTGCAGTACTGTGCAAAGGTTTTAGGCACCTAAGAAAATTAGTATTTTTAAAAAAAAAAAGAAAAAAAAAAAAAAGTGTTTTTTCCGGTCAGTGAGTGTTTATTTGCTCTGAAAAACACTAATGTCAGCATCAATACAAACAGCATTAATACAGTAAGTAGTGATTTATATGGTAGTAGTGTCAATGTCCTGCCCTCATCTCAATGAAGCCCAGTATTACTTGTAGGTATCATCCAATACCTGTTTTGGCTACTCAATAGTTCATTATGGTAAAACAAATGCTCAGGTGATGTAACACATCTGTGTGATAGCTGGAGGCATCCAGGAGAAATCTGGAACCTAACTTTGTTCTTCAAATTAGCTCACAAGACAAAAATATGACTTTGCGTTATGTTTTATTGTATTCATGCTTATTTGCATCCATTCTGATATATGGTGTTGCACTTACTGCCAAACTAAACGGATTTCAATAATGTGCTTAGGTGCCTCAGACTTTTGCACAGTATGGTCTTTTTTTGGATTCCTGAAAATCAGAATGTTTAGATGATGTGGGCACTAAAATATCTGCACTTTGATCATTTCACTGCATTTTTAACCCCCTATTAATAAATGTTATATACTTCTGTTATGTTATTTCAAGTAGAGCTACATTGTGGAGATGTTTATGTATCAGAATAAGGATTTGCATTGGTAAGCATTGGACAAATACTGGATAATCGCATTGGCTCACAATTCCTATATGGCTGCATTCTTGATTAAACTGTCTCAAACAACAAAATCACAACCTTCTTGTTGAAACTGAACACAAATTCAAATGATGTGGCCAAATTTCTGCATAATTTAGTGTGTGAGATGTAAACAGAGTAATTCAGAGTGGTTTGGTGTGAAATGGTTCAGATTTCTTCACAGTGGTGGTGATAGGAACCAGGGGTCGCCATGACTACAACACAAATATAGACATTTTATTTACTATCCAAAACCAACAGAGAACCTACACGTGTCTTCTGAGTTATATATGGAATGTTCAGCCATGAATGGATTAAATAAATACTAAATTTTAGGCTAAAACCCTCTGAAAATTATGTCACATGGTAAAACAGTGGAAAATCAGAAAAATCTGGTTTTCTGTGGGGACTGTTTTGGCTCACAGTGCCCTTCATGTAACCCTCCGCCGTGAACATGTTTTTAAAATTTGGCCAAAACTGTCATTAAAAAAGGTCTCAGACATGTCAAGCAGGTGTATTCATAACCACTTTTTTGTAATAACTTACAGTAAGGGAGCTTATAAAGGCTTCAGACATCTGGTTCCTGTCACCACCACTGTGAACTACCCTGATTCGGTAAGTTTCTGACAGAGCACTTCACACCAAACCTCTCTGAATGACAGTTTACATCTTAATTATCAGGTGTTCCCCTTTAAAGCCATGTTTACAAGGCACAAACAAAATATAACATGACATAACAGAAACATAACACATTATGCAACTATTCTACATACAGGAAAAACTCAAACTTCATGTTTCTCCGCACTGCACATCTTTCCCCCCATCAAACGTACCCAACTCACCTCATGAACAGTTTTAGAATCACCTGATGAGCTGAATCAGGTGCATTAGACCAGAGCAAACATGCAACGCACAGAATCCTCAAAGCCAGAGCTGAAAAGCTTTGGCACAAACTCTCTAGCTCCCAAGCAAACAGCAGGGAGGAGGATATGGAGGGGCATCCGTGAGCGTGGCCTGGCTGAGTAAGACTGGATACAGCCAGCATGGATTTACTAACAGATGTAGCAGTGTAGGATCAGGCCGCGATGCATTCTAAAGCTGGACGAATAAAGGCACCACAAATCAAACAGTTTATGCACAGCTGTGAGATACTGTGGCAAATCCCACAGCATGCATGTGGTGTTAGCTAAATATACTCACTGATTATGATTTTGCATGATTCAAATGTGTGAAACAGCTGCACATTAATAAAACGTGTCATGTTAACTCAATTCAAGCCAAAAGCAGCAAACTGAAAGGCAGCACATTTATTCATGTGCAACTGTTTGGCACATCTGAATAATGAACAGGACCGTGTAAGGTAAACCTTTTTAATACTCATACATAGACTGACTGTGTGTGTGTGTGTGGGGTTAAATGTAAATTAAACCATTTCAAAATGTATTAATAATTCAGTGTTTGAGATGTTAACAGAGTGATTCAGAGTGGTTTGGTGTGAAATGGTTCAGATTTCTTTATCATGGTGGTGATAGTAACCAGGGGTCGCCATGAATACAACACAAATATAGACATTTTATTTACTATCCAAAACCAACAGTGAACCTACACATATCTTCTGAGTTTTATACAGAATGTTGATGATGTTAAAATTATTTTTTTTTGAGGTTTTTCGTCAAATTTGTCACTACAAATTAGATAAGTTTTAGGTCAAAACCTGGTAACTGTTATCTATCTATCTATCTATCTATACAGGAACCAGACGTCCACCTCTAAAAGCTCCCTCACAGAAAGTTATTACATGAAATGGTTATAAATACACTGCTTGATATATATCTATATATATATCTATATATATATATATATCTATATATATATATCTATATATATATATCTATCTATATATATATATATATATATAGATATATATATATATATATATCAAGCAGTGTATTTATAACCATTTCATGTAATAACTTTCTGTGAGGGAGCTTTTAGAGGTGGACGTCTGGTTCCTGTCACTATCACTGTGAACAATTCTGACTCAAAATTTAGTGTTTCACACCAAACCACTCTCAATGATTTTGTTTACATCAACCATTTCTATAATGCAGCAATTCTGAAAAATCAGTGGGATTGCCCTTAAACCAGAAATGAGGGTGGGTGTAAGTGGGCATATTTACTGACCATAATGGACTGCAGGCTAATCAAGAAGCGCTGAAATTACAAGCATGCATAGGGAATGTACTTAAGCAAGCCAATCAGAAGGCCAGATTTTGGAACAAGCAAGCTTGTTGGCCAGTGAAATTACTGAAAAATTTAGAAATTGGTACTGAGGGACATATATTAGTACTGAAGGAGCATAAACACATTAAATTTCAATACTCAGCCCTGACTATGAATGTTTTCAGTGTTAAGTTTGCTATGAAGTCTTTTTTTTACATGATGAAGCTCCAGTGAACCAGAGCTTGTACAAATAGGGCTGAATTCAGCAGCACAAAACTGCAAATTGGGTCTACATACAAATACTAACATACTATGTTCAAACTGGCCTTTACTCAGATTTCACGAATGGTAGTCTATGGAGTGGTAAAGTGCAGCTGTAATATATCTTCGGCGCAGTTTGAATGGTTCTGCTGTGCTGAGTTTACTCTGCAGTCCGTCTTTCTCACAGACACTCAAGAGAATTCAGCACCTCCTGGAAGACCTTTATGAACAGAGAAAAAAAAGTAAAGTTTAGCTAAACTTACAGTAATAAACATCAACACTAAATTATTTTTACACATGCATTATTTTTATTTATACAGGATGTCAACAGCAGGGCGCCACAGTATCCAACTCAATTCAACTGTTACTGTTCCTGTACTGTTACTGTGAGACTGACGTATGTAAATGAACTCAGTTCTGATTGGTCTCCCTGGACTGTGTTTTTTTAACAAGCAATCCGGGCTCAAACATTCCTTATAACGTCCGCATGAGTGGGCAGGGCGAAATTCATACTCCACACAGTCTCTCCTCCTCCTCTTCACTCCTCCCCTGTTTAATTACCAGTCTAGAAGAAATGTTGCAAGTTCAGCATCAAACTTCATCTCTTTACTTGCCAAGAGCTGCAGCGGTAGAAAGCAGCACCAATGCTAACTCTTGTTTTGCTTCTATTTATGTCACTTCTTCTCTTTGTGGTTTCTTGCTGGGAGCGGGCGGCTACTTCTTCATCCTCCCATGTTAGACTGATGACAGACTCGACGCTACAGTGACTCATTATCGCCTCTTGAGGTACAACGTGGTATTACGATACAGGACAGGCTGGGGCTCGCTGTTTAGCATGCTAACTTTAGTAGATATCTCTGCAATGTCACAAAGATGTCTTTGACATAATGTTAAAATTGCCATTTCTTTACATTCTGTTGATAATTTTTGCAAATTTTGTAATGTTTTAAACCAAAAATCATACAAATTGCTCCTCTAAGGGAAAAATCAACAGCGTGCACAGTTGCGATTATCATAGCGGCAACCATCTTTTGCGGAAAAGAGGACGAAAAACAGAGACAAGGAACAAAGCAGGCAAATGGTTGTGGTGGCATGAGACAATTTGCATACTGCGCACTTTCAACCTGATTCACTGGCGACATATTTGACTACCAAATATATTCCGTGTAATAAAAACCTGATTAACATGTGGTTGAAATCTGATCAGGATTCAATTTATGAAACGCTCAGGGGGAACTTTCTGTTTCAGAAAATCAAACACTGGTGTGGTTATCTCATTTTACCACGGTGGCTATCAGTTTACTCAGTTAACCCAGATTTAGAGACTCAGGCTGTGATTTATACTCATGTGCGCATGAAAGCATAACATTACAAACAGCCACATAAAACATGAGAAAACCTTGTTTTTCAAAGAAGGAAATGGAAATCTAACTAAATATGTAGAAAACAAAGAATTTATAACAGTAAAAAAAACAACACTGTAGCCACGTCCAATGTGTTAGTGCTTATCAGAATAATAACGGCTTTTAATCGACCCAAATTGGCCAAAAGGGACCAGAGGGGTCCAACTCTGTCACACAGCTGTCCCTGACTGGTCAGAAGCCCAGCCTTGATTGGCTCCAGAGCTGTTTATGAAATCTGTATCTCAAATTCCGGATTTAGTCGGCCCTGGAGCAGGTTAGGCCTGCAGCGTAAGTTGCCATGGTGATGTAGACTAGCGAAAAAAAACGATCAACCATCATGAGCCAGAAAATTAGAACAAGCTGAGTTTAATATTCGCAGGCTCAACAAGAAATGCTGCTTGTGAGAGACTGCTGGTGTAAACGGGCTCTATGTTTGTGCACACTTGCACTTTTAGCGTAGCACTTACTTGACAGTTTGTGAAGAAGTATGAAAGTGCGACAAAAAGCTTCCTGTCCTGCTCGCTGTACCTCCAGCAGTTGATAGCCTGACCTGCTTGAACACAGAGATAGGGTTACTGAAGTAGCACTTTGGTATTCTTTTGCTTTGCTAGCCGCTGTCCTTTAAAGCAGAGGTTCTTAACCTGGGGGGTCACGACGTTCTTGAGGGGCCAATGTGGTTTAAGGGGTGTCGCAAGGGTGGTACTATAAAGATATATACCTTATTTACAAAACAATAAAAAATCCAGTCACTTCATAGTTTCAGTGACTTGATTTTTGTTATCGATTCAGTTCATGCTCTTTAAAAAGGCTTTTATCATTTTTAAATTTAATAATTTTTTATTTATACATTTACAATGGCAGTTTAACCCTTTAAAGAGCAAATAATGTTATTTATGTTGTGTCTTCGGCAACTAAAAGGTACTGGAAATGTGTTTCTTGCGTTCATTTGGCCCACACTGTGTTGTGAGATTTAGGCGAAAAACTTTTGAAAATCACCCAAAAAATAAGGAAGATAAGATCGTCAGCCAATTTGGCTAAAAAGAAATCATAATCAGACATAAAAATTCATGACTGATGCATCCCTAGGAATTTCATTGCAGCTGCTTAGACTGCAGACAGTGCACTATTTGATATTTTCCATCACTGATGAACCACTGATCATTAGGCTGTCCATACTGTCCAAATTAACATACCATACCTTGAGCTTTCTGCTGGAACCTCCCCGCCTCGTCGCCGATGCAGAAGCAGCCCTGCTCGAAGCTGATCTGGTCGTACTTGTCCATATTGGCCAGAACACTTCCTCTCACAGGCAGGTACAGCGTGCTCCCATTCGGCTTCCAGCTCTCAGAGTAATAAACCCCTCTGTGACCATCAATCATGACAAAACCGTCTAAAAACAACACACAAGTAATACTGTTATGAAGATTCAGAACAGCAGTAAGCAAAATATAAGTGATAGGTTGTAAGATCATGGGTGTAAATCTCTGACAATCGAATCTCAAACAGCTCAGAATTCTCAAAACAAGAATGAATATAAGTGAAAATAAGTTAACATGTCCTCTACAAGGAAAACATACAAATGTCTCATTAATGCAATTTTTAGTGCACAGTTTAACAGATTGGAGATAAATAAAACACACATTATATAACTGCCTATAACTTCTAACTTCTTCTAACCCATTGCCTCTTCTGTAGCTGCCCCAAAAACTGGAACAGTCTTCTACTTTTCATTAAGGAATCTCCCACAACAGGCGTCTTCAGGTCAAATAATAAAAAAAAAAACATTTATTTTATTGGGCATTCAAGTCTTTTTAATGTCCAAAGATGCCCAAACTTTTGCATACACTCTTAAAAAAGATGGTTCTTCAAGTGTTCTTTAGTAAAGGAAATGGTTCTATATAGAACCATGAACATGCAAGGAACCCTTTGCATGATTAAAGGGTTTGTTGCATCATGAAATTGTTAGTGCTATACATACAAAAAAGTGCTATAGATGATTCTATATTGACTCTTATTGAAAAGGGCTCTGCTATAGGTACGATGGCAAGGCTGTAACAATAGAAGAACCCTTTTTGGTGCTGTAGAGAACCTTTTTGAAAAGGTTCTGTATAAAACCATCTAAAGCACATTCTTAAATCAATCTAAAGAGCTCTTACCCTAAACATGCAAAGGGTTCTTTAAGTGTTCATGGTCTTACAAAGAATCATTTTCTCTACCAAAAAACCTTGAAGAACCATCTTTTTAAGTGTGTTCAACTGTATGACCATGAGAAGCTTAACTCGTCGCCTCAATATATTAATTTGTGGCCACACCTTATTAAAAAATATTCACCATATCAACTTAGGAACTCTGATCTCTGTTTTCCTCGCAAAGCAGGTTTCCAGGTGTTTTTCTGCTATACATGGATCTATATAGAACTTTTTTAAAAGAGTTCTGCTACAGGTATGATGTCAAAACTGTAAAAATGGAAGAACCCTTTTTTAGGTTGTATACAGAACCATCTACAGCACACTTTCAACATAATCAATATGAAGAACAATTTCATGATGCAATAAACTCTTCAATCATGCAAAAGTGTTCATGGTTCTATATACCACTGAATATGGCCATGAGAAGCTTAACTTGTGGCCTCAATATATTGATTTGTGGCCACAACTTACTACAATATCTTCACCCTGTCAAGGTAAAGGCTCTTTTTTCCGTTTTTTTTTTTCCCCAAAGCAGGTTTCCTGGTGTTTCTCTGCTCTGTGTGCAGAGCAGGAGCTACTGCAGCACCAGATTTGGGAAACACATCTATATATAATAAAGCAATGCATTACTGTTTTGTTTGTTTACGTTCGGAAGCAGTATTTTATCTTCCCCCAAAACCTGAAGGCACACTTTACTGAATATACTGATTCTAAACCAGCAGATGCAACTCAGCACCTGCACTGCACACTCCTGCTCCTCACTCCACTCACTGTGCTTCCTGGCTGGGGTTTGGGTGGGGAGTGAAGCTGCAGCCCCCCTGTTCTCTCCTTCTCCACCTCCGTTCATGCTGCTCACATCACTGCGTTTGCGTTTGCTGGGCATAAACACTGCAGGAGCTCCCCATCTCTGCTCCTGAGGATGGACACTGCAGGACAACAAGCCGCCCAAATGACTCACATCAGCCACATCCATCTCTCTCACTCTCACTCCACAAACACACACTTGCGTTTAAAAGTGCACAGCAGAAAAAAACAACGTGTTTAATAAAGCTCAGGTTAACAGTACTGGCGTCTTTCGCTGTTTTTTTGCACGGCCGCCTGATTTTGAAGCGCTTTTAGGTTTAAATTTTAAAATAATTCCTGCAAAATTCGCATTTTCTGCTGCATGTCCCTCCGACTGCAGCCCTCGGATACCGCCTGACTAAAATGCGCAGATACGTTGTGCAGAAAGACGCCAGCTGTATTAAAATATTGAGCTAATATAATAATATTGGACCTGTGTGCTACCAATAAAATGTGTATAGCCATCTGAAGCACTGCTTTGATTAATGTGATATACATTGTGCGTTAAATGTCAGGACTGCGGCTGGGTGTCAGTAATGGGGCCCTGCGCGGCTCACGTTTTTCTCTGCGTGGTTAATGGAGAGACGCTGAGCTCCGCTGACCTCTATCCTTCATCCACACCGACAAAATGTTTAAAATCGAGGGCCTGGGGCCGAAGATGGACCCGGAGGAGCTGAGGAGGAAGATGAGGGAGGATGTGATCTCCTCTGTGAGGAACTTTCTGATCTATGTGGCGCTGCTGAGAGTCAGTGAGTATCACTTGAATTTTACGGTTCCACCTTAAATGGTGCCGCAGTTGTTGTTATAACCCTGCAGGCGCCAGAGTGAAGTGATGCACCATTTAAGGTGGAACGGGAACACTCAAACAACCATGGGATATGTAAGGAAAACATGAATTATGAGATTAGAAGCATTGTAATACAGATAAATACTACACATTTACACAGCTCAGCCATAACATTAAGTCCACCTCCTTGTCAGCTCCACTGATCACATAGGAGCACTTTGTAGTTCTACAATTACAGACTGTATTTCATCTGGTTCTCTGCGTACTTTGTTACCCTGTTCTTTTTTAGTGGTCAGGACCCCCACAGAGCAAGTATTATTTAAGTGGTGAGTCATTCTCTGTTTGTGTGTTAGTGTGTGTTGTGCTGCTGGAGTTTTCAAACACTCACTGTCCACCTTTACCTTGTTGGTCCACCTTGTAGATGTAAAGTCACCAGTCCTGCAGCAACACTGAGGTGTTTAAAAACTCCAGCAGCACTGCTGTGTCTGATCCATTCGCACCAGCGCAACACACACTAACACACCACCACCAAGTCACTGCAGTGCTGAGAATGATTCACAACCCAAATAACACCTGCTCTGTGGTGGTCCTGTGGGGTTCCTGACCATTGAAGAACAGGGTAACAAAGTATGCATAGGAACAGATGGACTACAGTCTGTAACTGTAGAACTACAAAGTGCTCCTATATGGTCAGTAGAGCTATAAATGGACAAAGAGTGTAGATACAATAAGGTGGACTTAACATTATGGCTGACTTGTGTATATGTGTATTATTACCACCCAAATATGTGTATTAAAAAATAGTACTCTACACGTTGTCCAGTCCAAAGCCCTGCCAAACAGAATGTTTTATGCCTTGTTTGGGTTGCCATTTAACCTGAAGCTTGTTCTCTGTTGCAGCACCCTACGTTTTGAAGAAGTTGGACAGCATATGAGAACACTGAGCCTGGTGTGGATCTTCACCTGAACACTTCAGCACGCCCTGAATGGTGCAGCTCACATCCATGAAGCTCTGTCAACTGTCAGTCGTGTTGCTTTATTCTTTCCTGGAAGCCACTGAATGTACTTTATTTTGAGTGCAGGTTTTGCACTGGTGTTGTCCTTACAGTTTATGAAGTGACCTGTCAGTGATGTTATGGACCATTCTGTGTTGATCACTAGACATGGACTAAGCAATAAACCCTCAATGTACTAAACTTTCCACCATCAGAAATTTCTTGTGAAAAAACTCCATTATGACCGCTCACACATACTGAAACTTGTAGGAGTCCATGCGATTTAGGCTGTTTTCTTTCTGTCATGTATGAAACTTTACCATCATTCACTCTGTCTAAAAAAAATCTGCTTCTAATGAGTGAATTCCTTTAAGGTGCTCTTATTGCCATGCGGAGCAGTGGAACTGGAGTGATGGAGCTCCATCCAATACCTTTGGGCGGAGTTGGAGTGATCTAGAACTGACCATCCAATATCAGTACCTGACCTCACGAATGCTCAATCAAATCCACACAGCAATGTTCCAACATCTAGTGTAAAGCCTTCCCAGAAGAGTAGAGGCTGTTACCGCAGCACAAGCTCACTATTAGGGTTACTCTCATGAAACCACCTCAAAATGTCCATTTTTAAAGGCTTTTGGCATTTTATAACATAATTCTCTTTACTGCTATGTGTCCAAATATCTGTTCATTACCAATATATATTTTTTGTTTTTGCTTTTTTTGGAGTTTGAGTTTGTATTACTTTTGACTGCTGAATTTCTTAACATTGTTTTCTTGTAAACTGTAAGGAAGTGAATCAAAACAACAAAATGTTATGTGGCAGAAGTAAAAAGGTGGGGAAAAAAAATCAGTGGGCGTCCATGTTAATGTATGTAGTTTGACAACAGAATGAGGGGGGAAAAACATTATTTAAAGACTGAAATTAGAAAAATCAGTTCAACCATCCAGGGTTGATTGTAATTATTCAACATCACGAAGTGGTGCATAACAGTTTTGATAAGTTACAGTATGAAAAGAAACTCATGAACTTTTAACTTAACACTGTCCATTTAAACTAACCCCACAGTTTCTGTCTCCCAACAGTGGATAGCTTTTTGAAGGGCTATGTTGCCATGGCAACTGATGCTGCAGGCCTAACTTGCTTCAGGTCAGGTTAAATTAAGCATGATGGATCATCAACAGCTCTTAGATCAATCAGGGCTGAGCTTTTGGTGACGATGAGCCACTCTAGTCCATTTCAGGTCAAATTTCTGCAAATCAGATATTTTTCTGTTCGTAGTACAAATAAAATCAAAACACTGCACTGCAGCCACTTGGTCATCTGCAGCAAAGATAATAGTGGATAATAATATTAATAATAATGTTATAAATTAGTAACAAAGTAGTTGTGTGTTATCCTACACTCTTAAAAAGATGGTCCCTCAAGGGTTCTTTAGTAAATGTTCATGGGTCTATATAGAACCATGAACAACTAAAGAACCCTTGGCATGATTGAAGGTTTCTTCAGATTAATGGATGATGTGCTAGATATGGTTCTGTATAGAATCTTTTAAAAAAAAAAAGGTGTCGCATATAGCACCAAAAAAGGTTTCTTCTATTGTTATGATGTCAAGCTTGTAACAATGGAAGATTCTTTTTATGGTGCTATATAGAACCCTTTCTGAAAAGGTTCTATGTAGAAACATCTACAGCACATTCTCCATCAATCTGAAGAACCCTTCCATGATGCAAGGAACCCTTTTTATCATGCAAAGGGTTCTTTGAGTGTTCATGGCCCTATATAGAACCCTTTTCTTTAATAAAGACCCCTTGAAGAACCATCTTTTTAAGTGTGTAAGAGATAAAGAGCAGTAGCCTGTTTTCTCACTTTTCTGACAAAAATTAAAACTAGATTTATGAATATGTATTGATCTTTGATATCTGATTTGACTATTTTGTTACAAATTTTCTTACATAAACAACGAGCAAGATTTTTTACATGGCGGTAAACAAAATAAGAAAGTGCTCTTTCCTTGAATTTCAGGCATTACATTTATTAAGTTATTGCCTTAAGACACATTTTTATCAAAATTACACAATGTTACTCACACCATCCTAAGACAACAACTCTGCCACTGTTTAACAGCCGTGTTAATGTTAGCATCCCTGTTCAATCTCCTACATAGATGGAATGAGGATGAACACCGTGTTACAGACTATATTAAGGCATAGATTCTGTGCTGGAGTGTCTGTATGTGCATCACCTGGGGAAATTCTTCAGCACCATTAATATAGATTATTATACTATGACAATGATAATGCATCAGTGAGTCCTCACTAAAGAAATATTTGCTCTGTGTAAACTCAGGACCCAAAGGACCTTAGAGAAAATCAACAAGGCACATGAAACCCTTCATAAGAGTCATTTAGTGCAGAAAGTGAAAAAAATGGGATTCTTACGGAATCTATGAAGTAATCTGAAGGCTTGGAGGCAAGAAAAGAGATTATATTCAAAGAATTAAACAAATAGCTCACTAATGACAGTGTTGAGGATCATTTTCACCATCAAGAAGATGATCAGTAAGTCATAACATGAAAAGACATCTCATTATTGAGAAAATTATCTTGTTACTATGATAGAGTATCTCAACACTGAGATAGAGATCTAAATTGACTTAATATCTTATAATGAGGTCCTGCATCATATCTATGAAATACAACAGAATCTCAAAGTTATGAGATATTTTCTCAATTATGACAATATCTCATAATAAGAAGGTACTGAGTTATTTATTAAATACTCTAGTCTCGATTACAAGAAACTTTCATTATTATTACATTTTCATACTTAGGAGAAACGTTCTCGTTATTACAAGATAATGAGAACTTATGGCGAGTCATAACTAAGACTTATTCACAATGAGAATCTTTTTCCTTATTATGAGATAAAACCTCAATGAGAAGTCAATTATGAAAACCTTATTATGAGTCATTATTATTATTAAGTCATTATGAAACACTCATTTTTACGACTTACTAAATGGTTTAATGTTTTAAAGTGGTGGATACTGGCTTTCGTGAGACTGATCATCCAAGACATACTGTAGTCATACTGTACACTAACAAGTTGCAGCTTCAGTTAAATGTAAGATGATTCCATTAAGTCATTTCTAAACTAGTAAGCACTGTAGTGCACCTTAAACATCTTGTGAGTGTGTGGATGTTGGAGGAGTGCTGAGGTTTGTATCAGGCCCCACTGGGGGGCACTACAGCTTTAGTTCAGTGGGCATGGCCTCACCCGTCAGTCCAGCCAGCAGGTTGTTAGCAGATAGCTGAGCCATGATGCCACGTGTGGAGTAGGTGGCACTGCCAATGTGGGGGAGAACCACTGCAGAAGAGACACAGTTAGAGCTTAGCACTAAGCACCAAAGTCAAACCAAAATCTGTACTATTTTCAATTAAATATAGGGTTTAAATGTTTTGCATTACTGCATATTGTTTTAATTTACATTTTGTTTTAGCCTTCCAGTTTGTTTTTGTAGGTAAAGCACTTTGACATAAATAAATAATGTCCAGACAGCCCTTCTGAAGAGTGAATTCAGCTTCTTTTAACATCACGCGTCGCTGACACAGCTTGTATAATCTTCACAGGAAAGCACTGTGCAATAGAATGGGGCGCACTGGAGCAGCCAAACATGAGCCTAAAGTCACCATGCCCAATGCCAAGTGTGGGCTAAAGGGGTATAAAGCCCCCCCAGCATTGTGCTGTGGAGCAGTGGATCTGTGTTCTCTGGAGTGATGGAGCTCCATCCAATACCTTTGGGATGAGTTGGAGTGATCCAGAACTGACCATCCAACATCAGTACCTGACCTCAGTAATGCTCAATCAAATCCTCACAGCAATGTTCCAACATCTAGTGTAAAGCATTACCGGTACTCCTCATTAATACCCTTCATTTCAGAAGAAAGGCTGGAGGAGTATCTATATACTCACCACAGTTTTTGAGGGTCAGTAGCGGATGATCAGTGGGCAGTGGCTCTGGGGTCGTCACATCAAGCCCGGCTGCAGCGATCTGACCAGCCGTAAGGGCTTCATACAGGTCCTCCTGATTTACAACAGCTCCTCTATAGGAAGAGACGGACACACACACAGAAACGACAGACATGACAAAACTCCAGTCAGTGCACATGTGAATGAACTGATAAACAGCCCTGAGGAATCAACACAGTCACTACAGCTGAAGCGTCACTGGTGTTTGTAGTGTGCTGTGTAATACTGCGCTGATCTCACCTGCTAGTGTTGATGAAGACCGCCGTCTTCTTCATCTTGCTGAAAAAGCCTTTATCACACAGACCCTGAGTCTCAGGAGACAAAGCACACGACACCACAACAAAGTCGCTTTCACCCAGCAGAGAGTCCAACGGCACTGAAGAGGGGTTAAAGACATAAAAAAGGAAAGAGAGGAGAAAAAGAAAGGAATGGGAGAAGGTAAGGAGAGATGGGGAGGAGAGAAAGAGTGAAAGAGAGAGAGAGACCACACACACACACAATACATATATACACACACACAAAAAAAAGAGGGAATAGAGACAGAGTGAAAGAAAAAGAGTGTAAAAACAAGAGGGGGAGAGAGTGAAATTGAAGTGAGACATAAACCATAAAAAGAGAGATAAGGGAAGGGGGGAGAAGGAGAGGAGAGAGAGAATGCATTCAGTCTTCAGTGTAACCTGCAGTCTCTAAGTCTCTGTGTCTCATGCTTCATTTCCTCTTTCTATATTCAATTCTTCTTACAACATCTCTCTTTCTGTCTTAACGGCACCACATATAGCTCATTCCTCTAAATCAGAGAGAGCCTCCACCCTATACAGTCGTCCACCTCTAAAAGCTCCCTCACAGAAAGTTATTACATGAAACGGTTAGGAATACACTGCCTGATGTCTAAATGTTGTCTCACAATAGTTTTGAGAAGGTTTTGGCCTAAAATGTGGAAAATAGTCTCCGAAGAAAAATGTTTTTCAAATTTTACCATCATCAACATTCTATATAAAACTTGGAACACACGTGTAGGTTCACTGGTGGTTTTGGATAGTAAATAAAATGGCTATATTTATGTTGTAGTCATGGCAACGTGCAGAACAGGGTTACTACAGGATCACTGCTCTACAGGAAGATGTTTCTTCATTATTCCTTTCCTTCTCACCGTATTCTCCGTCCACCTCCTGGGCCTGTGGTTTGGGCTGCCGTCCCGAGTAAAGCAGCCTCTTTACCCCAAAAGGCTTCAGCCTGCGTGCAATGGCCAGGCCTAGAAATAAACTCATCAATAAACTTCACTGCTCAATTAATCCCTCCATCAGCTTCATATCATATCTATAATAATACAGTAACCACTTTGTTTTCAGAGGGTGATTTATCTTCTATGAATACACTCAATACACAAATGTAACAATGTCTATCTATTTACACTATTTAGACTATAGGCAAGTAAAACAATAATTTATTAAACATTATTATAATTCTGTTGTTCATGTGCTAAAGTGCAACCACACTGCTGGAAATATGCTTACAGTCTTGTTTTACAGGAAAAAAAAAATCCTTTACATTTTTCCCCACTTTTTTGTTATTTTGTCAAAAAAACAAATGAAAAATCACTGAAGCCTTGGAACCAGTCAATACAGAATATTAAATGCAATTACATATTCAAATGACAATTACATAATGCAAATTGTGTACAAATAGCAAGTATAGAAAGTATATTTAATAGTTATATTCTGCACTGATGAAAGTACCTATGCGTCCCAGACCGATGACCCCAACCGTACTGCCAGAAAGGCCATAACCGCACAGCCACAGCGGCTTCCATGAGCTCCAGCCACCACTGGGAGGAAATACAAAATTCCAAAATGAAGAGGAATTTGTGGGTAAACTTGGAAGAGCAGATAAGTGCATTTAAATAGAGGCAAAATAATTTTGGACTGAACGGACAAACTCTGATTTACACTAGTATGATGAGAAAACAGCCACAAATTAATCCATTCAAAGTAGTGCTAACAAATTGGTATAGGTCTGACCTTTTGACCTCCTGTATGCCCTCAGGCAGGCGTCGAGCAGTAGCCAATAGCAGAGCTACAGTCAGCTCTGCTGTCGCGTCTGTCAACACATCTGGAGTGTAGCCCACCCTTATCCCCCTGAGAAAGACAGAGACAAAGTGCAGATTTTAGCCTTAGACATCTCAGATTTTAGTCGCTTTCATTTTATCTTGTTTTCTAGCTGTCAGATTGTTTATGCTTTAGCCACAACAATTTCTTTGTTTCAGGTTGGTGTGTTAATATCCTTGTTGGTTTGGTGGTGTTTGGTCATTAAGACGTCCACTGTCTCTGTGCTTACTATATATCAGTGTCAAAACTTTTTTCAAAATTATCATCAGGAGATTGCGAGTACCATCTCTGGTGATGCTACAGCTGTCTGTGGCCAGGAGTCCAAGACAGCACAAGTGGCCTTGCTACTTGGGTGGGTGGGTAGGATCCCCCCCAGCAATCCTTTCTGAGAATCTGTGTATGAGCTCTTAAATGTCAAACATGAGGCTCATTTGCTGCGGCTCTTGATGAAAAAGTGCTTAAATTTCCATCAAAATCTCTGCTTCTCAATGTTAGTTTGAGCTTCATGACTGAAGTCTGGACTGAACGTGGGTCAGTACATGAGACTGTAGGTCTAGTCAGAGAATAAAGGCTCTTAAACTTTAGCCAACTTCGTTACCGAAGTGCAGAGCATTTCGCAAATTTTATAGCACTGTTGCCACCATCAGGTGAAAGAACTGCAACATACTGGCTGGCGGGCCGCTAATAACACACTCTACAACAGAAAATATGGGCCAATTAAAATCTACTTGTGGGCCGCATTTGACCCTGAGGCCAGACTTTGGACATCCCTACTATACATTTAGTGTTTGACTTGTATAGAAGTTAGTAGACATAAATATGCACTTAGTCAGAAGTTAATCTGCTGAAATGTAATGCTTATTTTCAGCTCTTTTCTCTCATATCAGCACCAGAAACACATTTGAAACTTCAATAAAAACTAAAAAAAGGATACTGACCGGAGTTTATGTTCTTTTACACTCACCGTTTCTTTATCTCATCAATGGCGAGGTGGTCGAATCCCACAGACATAGTGCTGATCACTTTCAGGTTGGGGCCTAAATAACAGAAAATACAGGTTGCTTATTGGTCACATATCAGTCTTACATTTCTGCACAATTCAATCACTGAGATGTAAAGCAAGTAATTCAGAGAGTTTTGATATGAAATAGTGCATCATACAGAAACATACTGACTGGAATTCTTTGGTGATGATAGGAACCAGGCATCCTGATGCAAATACAGCCATTTTACACCAATGTTTGGAAAAAAACCTTCTCAAAACTATCTTTAAACAATGTCTCAGATATCAGGTTGTACATTCATAAATGTTTAATATAATAACTTTCTGTAAGGGAGCTTTTAGAGGTGGACGTCTGGTTCCTATCAGCACCACTGTGAACAATTCTGACTCAGTAAGTTTCTCTAGAACAGAGCATTTCACACCAAACCACTGAGTTTGCATCTCAACCATTTGATTACGCAGATATTTTGAAAAAATCAGCGGAATTCCCCTTCAAATACTTCAGACGTCTGGTTCCCATCACCACCACTGCATGGAAGGTATAACAGAGTAAATCAATCATAAAATATAAAAAATCGTTACATTTTTCCAGGCTTGTTTGGTGTGGTCAAGTGTGAACTACACTAGATGTTGGAACGTTGCTGTAAGAATATGACAGATGATAACTCCAACTCATCCCAAAGATACTGGATGGAGCTCCATCACTCCAGAGAACGCAGTTCCACTGCTCCACAGGGGGCTTCATACCCATACATGCTAGGCATTGTGTATGGTGACCTTAGGCTCATGTGCAGCTGCTCCAGTGCATCCCATTCTATTGGTCAATGCTTTTCTATGGGGATTAAACAATTGGGTCACTCTATCAGTGGTGCCAACGCTGCTATAGGGTGCGAGTCCATCACTCACTAATGCAGCCAGGAAATGGACAAACCTCTGGCAAGCAGTTACCTCTGCTTAACCACGGCCATGGTTCAAAGTAACCGACAGTGCAAGTGCTGCACTTGGGCACCAGCTTTGTGCATTAAATGAGGAAGCAAAATTTCGCATGTCACAGTGTTTAATGTAACTTCCTGTTCCTCTTAAAGGTCAGACCTTCATGCCTGCACACTCACTGTTATCTTGCCCAGCAGTGGGCAGCTGGGACTCATGCTCCGATCGCCTAGAGATGCAATTACACACCAGCTCCTCAGCATGCAGCAACACAGGCCTACTGAGCCAGATGCAGAATCAAAGAGAGTTTTAACAGGGGCTAATAATTTGATCAGAATAGGCCTGTGCCTGGTGACGGTAACCAGATTATCATGGTAACAGCCCCCAGTGATGGTAAAAACAACCGCTGGGACTGAAAGATTAACAGTTCTGATATCAAAATGACGATTTCAAGGAGTGCAATTCGCAAGAGTTGCAATTTTATTGATAACTTACATTATCAACAATGTTGTCTTAGCAAGTTTTAAGTGAAGAAATTTAATAACAGACCTCGAAGCAACCCAACACTCATGTCCTGTGAACATGACAACATAGCCATCACTAACTGGAAGTCTGGTGTATTATGTTCAGCTTGCAAGCCTCAAGTTAGAAAACATTTATAAGCTGCTTTTCTTGGCCATAAAAACAGGCCTGAACTTTAAGTTATGGAAAAAAAAGAGTTGCAACTTAAATCGCAGCCAAATTATTCAGCCCTACCATTGTCCATTTATTGTGTGTGGTGCTTTGCGGAAATAAAAACAAAATGGTAGAAGTCAACCCCTCCTAACCTCTAAGTCCTTGTTTAACCATTTACAGCAGCTATTTTCCACATGGTTACCCAAATACCCCATGGTGAGTGCACATGTGTGGTGTAACTATGGTAGAGCCGTGGTAGAGCTGTTCTCAATGACTTTGGTTTCCATGGCTACTGTGGTAATGCAGGTTTCTTTCTGAATGCTGTAGCCCAGGGGTCTTACCTTTCCCACCCCAAGGCCCACCTATTTATAACTAGAAAGCATAGCAGTGCACAGGAAAACTAAAACAACAAAAAAGGAGAAAAGGGGGAAAACAAAAAAAGAATAGAAATGCACAAGGTAGATGAGGACTGTGTTTGGAGTCCATCATGTTTTCACTGAATGTACCCCAGCGGCTTCCCCACAAGAGTAGTGCGTTTGGCCTTAAGATGCCTCTACAGAGGGTTTTAGTACTTCATTTTAAAGAGTCAATCCACCCTCCACACACTGGGCCTTGGGATTAGCGTTGCCACAATCAAAGTAATAATAATAAACCTTACTTGATATCTGCTTCTTTATGACTGGTTTATCTATTAGAGCTTAACCACTCAGGTCGCTGATGCTGGGCCAAAAATACATTCCATGTTCTATGAGCCGAAATCAAACACATAGCTTCATTATTATTTTATAGCTCGCCTGTTGTTTTAACAGCAGCTTGTGGAACAATATGAAAGCAAATACGAGCCTGTAAAGAGTCAGATGTTCATTTCATTATAAAACGTGTTCCCACCAGCAGCAAAATGAACCAGCTTTCGCTTGGAAGCGGACCGGGATCAGTGGTTCCTGCCAGGCCATGGTTCAGCTGTTTGCTGCAGACCCAAGTACAGGTGGAGTGTTCAAAAAGGTCGAAATTTAATCAGCTTACTCCTGCAAAGTTTTTAGTTGGACGTCTCTATTAACATTTACATCATTTACAATTGGAACAAGTTTGGTTATTCGATTTTTAATTATCAAGTTATTTTTTTTCCACTTTTGGAAAAAAGTTTTTATGACTTTACCTGCCCACAAAAACTACTGCCTCCCCCTGAGTACAGGCTTGCGGACCACTAGAGGGTGCTTCACAGCCCACTGGTGGTCTGTGGCCCAGCAGTTGAGAAACACTGCTGCAGACAGCTCTACCGCTCAAGGGTTCTTTAGAAAGAAAATGGTTCTATACAGAACGATAAACACTCAAAGAACCCTCTGCATGATCAAAGTGATCTTTGCATCGTTAAAGCGTTCTTCAGATTGATGGAGAAAGTGCTGTATATGGATCTTATTGGCCTGACATCATAACAACAGAAGAACCCTTTGTGGTTCTATACAGAACACTTTTCAAAAAGCTTCTGTACAGAACCATATACAGTACATTCTCCATCAATCTGAGGAACTCTTTCAAGATGCAAAGTACCCTTTAGTCATGCAAAGGGTTCACTGAGTGTTTATTGTTCTATTCAGAACCACTTTCTTTACTAAAGATCAACCATTGACGAACCAATGTGTACTTCAAACAAATTTAAATTAATTATCTTAATTAATGGCATGTCTTTTTTCAGATTAAGTAGAATAAAAAGTATGGAATCACTCAATGTTGAGGAACATTATATTTGTTGCTCCTCCTCTGGCTTTTATGATGGCCTACATTTACTGAGGCCTAGACTTCACTAATGAAGTAAACACTGAAACTCAGTATCACCTTCATCCAGTCATCCACACTCTATGACTGCTTCTCTTTAGCCCACTGCAACCTTGTTTTCTTCTGTTTATGAATGTGCTGGATTTGGTTTGGCTTTTCTGCATGTAAATCTCATTTAATTCAACTGATTTCTTACGGTTCTGTCACAGACATCGACTCTGGTTTCCGTCCATTCGTTTTTAATTTGTTTTGTTGTGCATTTTCAAGGCAGATTGCTTTGAGTTTTTTATCCTGATGCTTTGACGTCTTCCTTGGTTTACCAGTATGTTTTCCTCTTATAATCTTCCCATTTTGATTAAACAAATTTTAGACACAGCTGACTGGGAACAACCATGTTCCATGTTGGATTTCCTTTTGTTGATAGAGTTTTATAATCCATTCTACTGTTTCAACTTACGGCTCTCTTGTTGGAGCCAAGTTTTCTTTCAATAAGCCAAGTCCAACAGCTCGTAAAGGTCTGTAAGCACTCCCTTTTAAAGGGGAACTTCCCAAATTTTTCATGAAAAAAATTCTACGTAACGGTTGAAATGTAAACAGAGTCATTCAGAATGGTTTGGTGTGAAATGCTCCGTTCTAGAGAAACTTGCCGAGTCAGAATTGTTCACCGTGGTGGTGACAGAAACCAGACGTCCACCTCTAAAAGTTCCCTAACAAGAAGTTATTACATTAGATAGTTATGAACATGCTGCCTGATGTCTGAGACATTGTTTTATGATAGTTTTCTGATATAGTTTTAGCTTAGAATGTATTTAATCCATTTATTTTGAACCATTTATCATGTAAGTATACATGCAGGGCACTGTAGGGCAAAATAGTTCCCGAAGAAAACTTATGCTTTCAGATTTATCACTATTTTACCATCATCAACGTTCCATATAAAAACTCAAAAGACATCACCACAACTGTAAAGAAATCAATGTCTGTATGTTTCTCTACAATGAATCATTGCACACCAAACCACTCTGAATGATTGAAATTTAAACAAAGACTGAAACATTTAGAAATTCTGAAAAAACTAGTGGGATTCCCCTTTAACTGCAGGCTGACTTGCATTTTTAGAATTGTGCTGGTATTTTATGTGCTGGTGTTTTAGAAATGCAAATTACAAAGTGATTCTATTTTTTAAATCCTAAACATTGAGTGATTCCATAATTTTTTCCTCGACTTGATCTGGAAAAAAATGAATCAAATCAAAAATAAACAAGGTCTAGTGAAGAAAAAGGCACAAAACATGGTGTTAAAAACATGATGTTTCGTCAGAAGTGCCATGGGTATCACCTGCACGCTGACCAGCACGTGCCTCATCAGAAAGGGCTTTAGCCTGTTTCATCAGATGTAGTTTATGTGCAGTATGTAAAGTGTTGAACAAGACAAAAGTCACTGCACTCTCAGCTTTTGAACGTTTTTTCAAATTAGTTTTCTGTTGGATTCTGTCTGCTGTAACTTCTCAAACCTCAGAAAATTGTCAAATCATAGATAAGCCTTCAGGTATTATTAATATCTCACAATATATATATATTTTGCCACACTGTCCACCTGTAGAAGCAAACAAAACCTCAAAGTCAACAGTCGTGTCAAGCTGGAAGCAGAATCATACCGGCTGCATCCAGCACCTCAGCATCAATTCGGTCAGACAGCAGGCAGAAAAGACCGTGAGCTCCTTCCACACCCTTGAGGAGCTCTGCCCGAGGAACAGGCTCATCTGAGTCCCACAGCGACACAGTACATCTGAACACAACAGGAGACATGTGGGGTTACAGAAGATCCAAGTTAGATTAAACATCGATGTTAGATAAAACATCAGCTCCTTTGCGGAACTAAGAAATACTAAATACTATATAAATATACACACACACACACAAACACACACACACACACACGCACACACACACGCACACACACACGCACACACACACGCACACACACACACTTTTGTTAAGACTGAGCAAAAAAGAAAAACAAGCTTTTTTTTTTTTTAAAAAAAAAAAACTTCAGACTACTAAGAAACCACTTCGGAAAAAAATACACATTTTTTTCCCAGCCTTCTTCTGGCAGCAGTGTAATAACTCAAATAATAACATATTGGATTTGAAGGAAATCAGTGATTAGTTAGAGATAAGTTATTATATATTATAAATATTAAAAAGCAAAGTCATCATATTTTTGTTTTCAAGTGATTATTTCAGGTAATAAATCCTAAGTTCAAGGAAATTACATTTTTTTTCTAGACATTAAGTCACAATTTTACAGACAAGAGGTTATTTTGACATAGTCTGCCACTATTCCGAAATAATAAGTCACATTTTTGAGATAATAAGTCATCATTTTGAGAAAAACGCCATTTCGACTTAGTAAGCCATTCTATTCAGATACTTCTTACTGAGTCGAAATTTTGCAGGGAAGTCATTATTTTGAGATACCAAGTCAAGGAAATAAGATGTTATTTACGGACATAGCACGCCATTAGCTCGAGATGCTACAGTACATTGAAATTTTTAGAAACTAAATCATTTTCAAGATAAAAAGTCTAATTTCTGACAAACTGCTGCAGAAAAAGGAGTTTATGTTTGACAAAGAAAGACAGACACATAGAGAGAATCAGGACATCTTAGCAAATGAAATTGCCTTAAATCTATTCAATATACCCAATATGTCTCATTTTGAAACTGCTATAACCTTATTATTCGATTATTTAACTTCTTTCTAGACATTTTTACTTGTTTTAAGTGATTTTAGTAACTTAAATAATCTCTCATTTTGCTTGCTATAAGAAACATGCTTGGGATGAGCTGCATTATCTGCCAATATACAGACAATCTGACTTACAACAATCACTTAAAACAAGTAAAACTGTCTAGAACGAAGTTCAACCTCTTAATAAGCTTACAGAAAACTCAAAACAAGAAGTATTAACCATATTGACTAGATTTAATTTCACTTGTCAACCCCTGCTGAAAATGGACCATTAGATACCATTAGGATTAAAACCTAATTGTTTTGCTTTGTAATGGGAATTGGCTTAATGGTTTCGAAAAGAGAGAACTAGCCACCTGTAGAACACCTTAATATCTGATTAGGAAACCATTAAATGCATTTAAAATCAGCCACTGGTCACCTGTTAAACCATCAAGACCCTTTACACTTTGATATCAACCCAATAAAAAGCCAAAACGCATGACAAAACCATCAGGAACCAACAGAAACACTTAATGGTTTCTATGGGTTTTTTCAACAGAGTTGAAATCTACATGTTTTGTAGTGTAAAGACTAATGCTATGCATAAAAATAATGTGTGGCCACAACTTAGTAAGGCATGTGAATGGGATAATTAGGGCTTGACCACAGTTTAATAAGGCATGATCGCGTTCCCGCATCTTACTACGTCGTGGCCACGCATTAGGATCTTGATCCCACGCATTACTGAATCATGGCCACGCATTAGGATAGTTGCTACTAACATCTGGTATAAATAAAAATAACACATGACCATGGCTTAGTAAGGTGCGGAAACGAGATGATTAAGTCGTGGGCATGACTTAGTAAGGCATGGGGATGAGACAATTAAGCCTTGACCACAGCTTACTAAGGCATGATCTCGTTCCCATGCCCAGTCACAGCTGCGACTTTACTATCTTGTTCCCACCCCTTACTGAGTCGTGGCCACGCATTAGGATCTCGTTCCCATGTGTTACTAAGTTGTGGCCACGCATTAGGATCTTATGAAGCCCTGCTAGTGACATTCTGTATGAATAAAAATAACGCACGGCCACAACTTAGTAAGGCGTGGGAACGAGATCCTAGTGTGTGGCCACAACTTAGTAAGGTATGTGAATGAGATAATTAAGCCTTGACCACAGCTTAATAAGGCATGATCTCAATACCATGCCTTACTAAGCCAGGGCCACGCATTAGGATCTCATTCCCACAGGTCAGTACACGTTATTTCTATTTATACATGACATCACCAGCAGAGCTCCGTAGGATCTCATTCCCAGGGATTAAAATAGCACAGCCACGCATTAAGATCTCGTTCCCACGCGTTAATATGGCGTGTTCACGCATTAGGATCTCGTTCCCACGCGTTAATACGGCGTTGCAACGCATTATTTTTATTTATACGTGATGTCCCCAGCGGAGCTCCGTAATAATAACCGTCTGCAGCAGGTTGTGGTTCCAGCAGGACCTGCTGGACCTGAGTGAAGGTCAGTGAAGCTGCAGAGTTCTACAGCAGATAGAGACCTTGTGTCTGAAGCTCGTTTAGCTGCTCCGTTTGAAAAGCTGTGTAAATCAGTTTTAGCGTCCTGTGGACTCTTAATTGAGTCTCTCTCAGCTGTGCGTGTCTGCACAGCTGCTGTAGGTAAACCTGCGTACACTGCCGCTCTCTGCAGGAGCTCCAGTCCCTCCTGAGGAATCCTCCTCGTCACGAACACTCTCAGCACAGGCTGCGCGCTCATGCTGAAGAAGATACAGCTGCCGGATGAAAGAAGGAGTGAAAATGTGGCTACAAGGTGCTTAAAAGCCCACCAAAGTCACAGAGCGCAGAGCTAACCGGCTCTGTTTACTCTGCAGCAGCGTGGACTCCCACTGCGCATGCGCACTGTGACGTTGACCTTTGCAAGTTAGTCTGAGCAGTGACGGAGAGTCGATTCCAAAAGAATCAATTCTTCGGCTCCAACGCGTCTGAGAGGCGGGCTCGACTTTTGGCCAATAACTCGACTCTGCGTTTATTCATTGTAATCAGCTCGACGAGACTGTAAAACAGAAGTTAGTCTGAATTTGTTTAATTAGCAGTGTTTCAATAAACAATGAACCCTACAGAAAAAGACACATTTCAACACATCACATTTCAAACCACCTCCAAATGCGGTTTGGATCCAATTTGCAAAAGTTGCATGTGTTTTTTTTTTGCTGTCCAGACTATCAAAAATCAATCTGAATACAATCTGGATATTACAAAAAGGTACATTTTTAAACTTTAGATACTAATAAGTGTTAAAAGTAAGAAATATTTAAGTATGATAATACTACTAATCATCTTCCTGGCATCTTATTAAGTTCAGTTCAGTTCTCGAATGAGAAATTTGGTGCGTCATCAGTGAAATATGTTGATAGCATCTCATCGTTGCCTTTCTGTTTTTCCTCTGCCCTCAGAATATGTAATACATATGTTTACACTTCTTTTGCTTTCTCTTCATTTGTTTTTCTGTCTTCCTCACAATATTAGGCCTATTTTGTGCCTCTTCACAAGAAGTGGCTTTAACTGCTCATGCACAAATTACAGTGCTATGATGAAAATAGAGTTCATTTTACAAGATAAGGCAGAGTGAAGTACTGAAAAAATCATCACCATAGTCAGAATTCTTTATAAAGAAAGCAGTTGGATGTTCTCTTGTTCCTCTTTTCACAAGGCTGAATTTGACTTTGTGTTCGCCAGCTTCTTATTCAGTTACTCTTGTTGTGTTAAGATATGTTTCTCAAATCAGATCTTTTGAGGCCGCACTGTGGTTTGCAAGTGTTTAGATCAGATTTGTGTGTCCAGACATCACCAGTCTATCGGCATGGGTTGCCGTGGTAACAACGTAGGCGTCAGTAACTACGTAGCTACGACGGTGATGCAGATTTCAAACAAGCATGCAGGAGAGATGGAGGTGCATCATCTCGCCCTCCAAACTCTTCAGAATTCTCTGGAATAAGCATTACCTGATTTAAACCAGAATTCCGATTTGGACTACGCATGTGCAGCAAAGGTATGTTATTTCCCAAATCATTTTACCACGTTCCTGCGCATGCGTGGTTCCAATCGGATCAGTTGACCTACGCATTTAAACATGTAGTCCAAATCGGATTGGTTGACGTACGCTTTCGCACATGCATAGTCCAAATCGGATAGGTTGGTGTACACTTTCTCACGTGCATAGTCCAAATCGGATTGGTTGAGGTACGCTTTCACACATGCGTTGTCCAAATCGGATTGGTTGACATATGCTTTTGCAAATGCCTAGTCCAAATCTGATTGGTTGAGGTACATGCGTAGTCCAAATCAGATTGGTTGACGTTTGCTTTCGCACATGTGTAGTCCAAATTGGATTGATTGCGCAAACTTTCAAACATGCGTTGTCCAAATCGAATTAGTTGATGTACACTTTCACACATGCCTGGTGCAAATTGGATTGGTAGAAGTACACTTTCTTAAATGTGTAGTCCAAATTGGGTTTCCAGTTGAAATCATGTAGTGACAAACATGAATCTTTTGCGCTCTTCTTGAATCCCAGCACTTACGTCACTTTGGATTTTACACTGTCGTTGTTTGTCGTGTTGCAAGTGACACAAAAGACACTTTGAAATCCAATTTGAGCATCCAGAGCATCCAGACTGAGACGCATCTGTAAAAATCCAATTGGAATCGCATTTCAAACCACTTCCAAACATGCCTTGGATTTGACTTGGATCAGTCCTCAGTCCAAACAGTGCACATATGGAAACTACGTGGCAAAATCAGCCCGTTTTTGAATTCATTGCTTTTGTGATGACATGAAACCAACACATTTACATATATCTGCCTATTTAGCCTACAGCAGTTTAGCTCCACCCACTCACACTGACGTTATGTGGAGTGTTTCAGCCTGGACTGCTTTTTGAACGAGGCAGCCAATCATCACAGAGGCTATTTTTACATATATCAGTCTTAAAGCGATAAAGAGAGGATGCAAAATGGTCATTAAAATATAAACTGTGATTGTTTGTAGTCCCACACAAATGTTATAAATGGACTTTTTTTGCAGGACAGGCTTTCCATCATCACCAATTAGTCACAAAACAGGACAGGAACGATTACAGCAATCAGTTGATATTGGTCTAAGCAAAGAGTGGGAAACAGTAATATGCAAATTACTGTGATTTGCATATCGGTGTATATTCTGCGGGGGTGAACAGCTTGCCTGCTGTGATACTTCATTCTCTTTCATTCATGCACCTCTGCAGGGTAAATAAAAACAGCCAGACCATAAATAAGACATTTCTGAGGCGGTGTGAGAGCTCCAGTTCTGCAGGCTGTGGCCCTTTAATGGCAAACTCAGCCTGGTCCGCCTCTTCCATTTAAGGGCATGTTGACTTTTCTCGGCCGAGCGTTTCTTCCTGGTTCCCTCAAACGAGCTGCAACTCCCCTTTAAATGGCTGTTTCAACCCCAGACAGAAGTTTTTACAGAAGGATTAAAATAACTTGGCGAAAGAGAGGAGAGGAGGATAACTAATCAACCAGCAGCGAGGTGAAGGGGAGAGGTGGTCTGTTTGGATCTTCTGGAGAAGGTGAGCGGAACTGTTTTCATTCCTCTGCGTTTTTTCCTTCTTCTTTTCTGAGGAACTGGAGCTTCTTGTTCGAATTTTCTCGTTCCACCTTAAATGGTGCAGCAGTTACATTCTGGCGCCTCAGGCACCAGAATGTAACAGCTGCACCATTTAAGGTGGAACGAGACAATTCGAAACCAGAAGCTGGCGAATGCGACAAAAAAACAATGATAAACTGCTGCGTCGACGTTATCATAGACACCTGATTTTATCTACACTATCCATAAACACCGTGCAGTGTGCAGTTCTCATGTATCAATATTATTTTTCCTGCGTGTCGTTCGTTTACTGTACCTGTTATAGCTTTGCATCAGACGCCTTGGCTCGTTTCATGCAAAATATGCCAAGTTAATACAAGCCTATAGCTCCGAGTAAGCCTGGGGAGCTGACATAAGAAAGGAATGAACGGCATGTGGCAGGCAGCAGCCATGAGTACTGCACTGTATGACAGTCTACGTGTCCAATGTGCCAATTCCTCCACCTTCTTGGGTGTGATGATGAAGCTGGCTTATTAAGATTCACTGTATTTAAAAGAATCACCCACCTTGTGCTTCCACTCACTGGCCACTTTATTAGAAACACCCACCTTGTGCTTGTACTCACTGGCCACTTTATTAGAAACACCCACATTGTGCTTCCACTCATTGGCCACTTTATTAGAAACATCTATCTTGCAGTTCCACTCACTGGCCACTTTATTAGAAACACCCATCTTGTCCTTCCACTCACTGGCCACTTTATCAGAAACACCAACCTTGTGCCACCGCTCACTGGCCCCTTTATTAGAAACACCTACCTTGTGCTTCCACTCATTGGCCACTTTATTAGAAACACCTACCTTGTACTTCCACTCATTGGCCACTTTATTAGAAACACTTGTGGGACGAAATCTAACCATTACTACATCTTTTGTAAACAAGCCTACTCTCCTCTTAGAGTGATGGCACAATAGTCTCCCAAGTGAGATTTCCTGTTTAAAACTAGGAACGCCTCCTTCTGATGATGCATCTTGAAGGTGGAAGTAAAGTTTGAAAAATTTCAAGTGCTACTATGTGGTGTGGGCTGTTAGAAATTCTTCAACTGAATTATTCTTTTCACAAACAAAAAAAATATGACCGATGTTTTACGTTATTGCTACATCACTAATGATAGCTTGCATCACAGGTGTGTTTTGGTGTGCTGATTCGGTGACTACACCAGCAGTCAGGATTTTTTGACTGCCACAGAGATTTTCATGGATTGTGGGATGCATTTGTATAATGCATGCTAGGGAATGTAGTGAGAAATTGTGATTTCTGCTGAGTGGACCAATGCTATAAAACAATACATAACATCCAGTCTTATGTAAAAGTTTTATTGATTTGTCTAAGTGTAAATAAGTGAACTCACCCTCTATAGAGAACACACTTCTGCACATATTAATACAGAAAGTGACCTTTTAATGAAGGCCACTTTATTAGAAACACCCACCTTGTGCTTGTACTCACTGGCCACTTTATTAGAAAGGACTGGAGGATGGCTAACATATAGGACTGGGCAATGTGACAGTATTTATCATTATCATGATATGTCACAATATGCTTCTCTAAGCATATTGTGGAAATTGTCACTACTTAAAAACACTGGATGTTTTATTTCAGTGACAGGATTGTTAGTCCTGTTTAATCAGATTTAGTGCAGCACGGTGTGTAAAATGTTGAATTATATTCATAGTTTTTGATTGTATTTTTAAACATGACAATTCTTTGTATTTCCCAAAATACATGTTGTGTATCATGAAAGCTTTATGTATCATGATATTACAATTATGCTATATTGCCCATCTCCACTAATACTAACTCTCTGTCTCTCCGCACACTGCAAAGGAGGGGTTTCTGATAAAGTGGCCAATACAGGCAACAGAGCAGTGACTAACACCTGATACAAGCAAATGAAGATTTTTTTAGAATATATGAATTACTTTAATAAAGTGTGTTGAGTTTGTGTTGGCTGTGTGAAGGTAGATCTCCAGGAGAAGCAGATGTTAATGACCAGTGCTGTAAAGAGAGCTGTCTGAGCTCTAGGTGGGCCTGAAAGTGGTCCGACTGGTCTGTACAGTAGCATAACAAAATCCAAACATTAATCTTCTCCTACTACACATGCTCCAGGGCCAACAGCTTTATAGTGTGTTGCATCATATGTTGCTGTAATGTCTTGCAGTAATTGCTGATTGTTCCACCTCATTGCTCTAAACAGGATTCTGATTTTCTTCGTAAGTCTGACCACCCTGAGAGCCTCTTCTGTGAGCTTTCCTGCTAAATCTGCCCGGAACTGAGGCGGGAAGACGGCTGTGGGATGGCTTTGCTGACCCTGCACAGATCACCATCTGTTTGCACCCCAACAGTGAGTTTAGAAATTTATAAGTTCACTTAAGTGACACTTTTTCTGTTCTGTTAACTCTTTATTTCATATATCAGATCATCAGTGACCTGCAACCTCATTTCTCCCCTCTGCTGCATCCGTTCATGTTTGTCAGAATGTCTAAATAAAACAAAATGTATGTTTATTTCATTATTTTGTTATTGTCATTAAATGTTTAGACTAGGGGATTTTTAACCCAAGGGCCTTTTTGATCATCTGCACACTTAAAGATGGTTCTTCAAGGGTTCTTTAGTAAAGTAAATGGTTCTCTTTAGAACCATGAGTCCTATATAGAACCAGTCCATGCTTAAATGGTTCTTTGCATGGTGAAATGGTTCTTCAGATTGATGGAGAATGTGTTGCGTAGGGTTCTGTATAGAACCATGGTTTTTATATAGCCTCAAAAAGGATTCTGTTATTGTTGTGATGTCAAAAAGAAGAACATATTCTCCATAAATTTGAAGAACCAGTTCAGCATGTAAAGAGCCATTTAAGCCTGCAAATGGTTCTGTATAGAGTGCATGGTTCTAAATATAACAATTCTCTTTACTAAAGAACCCTTAAAGGATCTTTTGTAAGTGTGTAGAATATCATGGATAATTGGCTACAAACAGATAATTGTAGGGTTTTTTCAGTGTCCTAAAATCTGATTGGCCGAATCCCAAATTTGCTGTTTGTTTGTACTGTTTGGGTTCAGGATTCAGTATAATCATTTCTACATAGTGGACTACGTAGGGAGCAGGGAGCCATTTGAGATTCAGACCCAGGGTAGGGAAAAGGGACGAACAACACTGTTAGCTTGATGCTAAATAAGACTGGATATCACATAGAGCCGCAATAGGAAATTAGCATTGTTGTTGTGGGGGTAATTTGGTGAGCAAAAACTACTTAAAGTGAAGTTTTTTGTGTGTTCATCGTTATATGACAAAGTTTTAAAGTTCATAAAATGACTGCAACATACAACGATGGACGAGTGAATGTTCTTCATTCACTGTATGAGACTAATGTCACCAACAAGTTGTAGAATTAGCATTGTGCTAACTGCAAGCCTCAATCATCACATCTCCCTCAATCATGTGGAGTTATTAAAGGGGAATTCCACAATGTTTTAAAAAATGTCTCCAAAATTCAGTGTTTGAGATGTAAGCAGAGTGATTCAGAGTGGTTTGGTTTGAAATGGCTCAGATTTCTTTACAGTGGTGCTGAAAGAAACCAGGGGTCGCCATGACTACAGTACAAATATAGCCATTTTTTTATTTACTATCCCAAACCACCAGTGAACCTACACGTGTCTTCTGAGCTTTTATATTGAATGTTGATGGTAAAATAGTAGAAAACTTATTCATTCAGATTTTCCTTGGACTATTTTGCCTCACAAATATTTAGCCAGTTTAACGTATCCATCCACCATAAATGGATTAAAATACATAGATTAAAAGTCGTTTTTAGGCCAAAACTTTATCATTAAAAATACTGTCAAAAAAAAAAAACATCTCAAACATCAGGTGTTGTGTTCATAACCATTTAATGTAATAACTTTCTGTAAGAGAGCTTTTAGAGGTGGACATCTGGTTCCTATCACCACCTGGCTTCTCAGAAAGCTTCTCTAGAATGAAGTGTTTCACACCAAACCACTCAATGATTTTGTTGACACATGAACCATTCAATTGTTCAGGAATTTTGGAAAATCGGGGGAGTTCCCCTCTAAGTTATCTCTAATAGACTTGATTATGTGGACGCCTTGTTATCTATAAACATGGACTAAAGTACATTAGCATAAAATAGGAGCAGGTGAGCTAAGCAATGTAACATACAATGGTCCATGTGTACAGAGGACTGAGATTTTTACAGTAGAAGAAACCACTTGAGTGAGTGTGTTAGAGATTACCTAACACACGGTTTGAGACAAGTGTGTCATGATTTAGGCATGCAGTTAGCACCGTGCTGTTTCTTATAAGATTAGTAGCTCCAGTGCAAAACTAACAAAGCAAGCTTCAGACTCCAGACAATCTCTGCTGATCTCCTACGTTTGGGACACGAGGGGAAACTGTAAATTTAATTTTTTTGCCGAACAGTTTCTTTAATCACCAACTAATGCTTGAAGTGGTAGTGCACTCATCCATCAAAACACTTGCACAGCCATTCCTTCCTCTCTTTCTTCCTCTCCTCTTTGCTTTTCCTCACTCTCTATTTGTGTGGGGTTTTTTTTTTTCTTCACTCTTTCTTGAATTTAATTATGTGGCACTTCTCTTTGGTATGTGCCCACTTTACCAAAACATCAGGCGACACCTTTCTCCTTCAAAATGCCTATTTTAAAGCAGCCAGTTTTTCCCCTTCTCAGTGCCCACTTGTTTGTTTCTCTCTGCCGAGAGAACGTAGGTGTTTTCATGAGACAAAAATCCATTCCATAGATTCGGTTAGATGATAGGCTGGGGAAAGGTTATGCTTATATTTCTGACAAGGCTGTTTGTGAACACACCAGAGATCACATGTGGACAGTGAGCGTAAAAAGCATTGCAAGTGACATAAAAGCATTAATTTCACTTTTGTGCAGTCTCCTCCTGTGCCATTCCAAAATAAAAATAAGCAAAGTTTATACAGGGTCACCAAGTAACTGAATACAGTAATTCAGTAAATCATTCAATAAATGTCAAACCGTCTACCTAACAACCCCATATGGAAGTCTGATGGGCAATATGTTTCAAAAATATGACACACATGGATTTCTCTTATATCCAAATTGTATTTGTCACATACAGATATATATGTGACATAAATGCCTGATTATTTAAAATTGGCCATTTTCACATGTATACTTTAGCCAATTATCAATACATGCAAACATGTACGTGTAACACGTTTAACAACATATATAGAAAACATTCTTATACAGCTACAAATAGGGTCATTCATATATTCATATATATACTTGCTTCGTTAGAATATAAGGCCCTTATGCATCTTTGTTTCTTCCATATTCGTCCTAATGAAGTGGAAAAGTAAAACAAAAAAAAAAAAACCTAAATATTGTTCCCTAACCCATTAAGATAATTTAATATTTAAAAGCGAACAGATAATATAGTAATAGTTATGTGCTGGGATGTATTCAACCATGTATCAGGTATATATCTAACCCATATTGTGCTTCTATGTCCAATATTTGATTCTTACATTTATGTACAAAACTGTAGACTATGTACATGTGTTGATATATATGCATATGTGTAAGGCCATATTCCTGATATGTATGTGCATGGCCATATATGTGCATATGTCAGGTTTCTGTATTGATAAAAGTTAAACTAGGAGAAAGGAGCTGGTTAGCATTAGCTTTGTTAGCATGCTAACAGCTCTGCTCACCACAGAACCCCTGATAGCAAGAGGATAGTGGACCTGGGAGGTCCGAGGGTGGACCAGCAGTGGCAAACAGTCAGCAGGGTGCTGACCTTATCAAGCCAGTGGACCAAAATATGTTTGCTATCTGGGACATGTTCACTTCAGGCTAACTAAAGCACCAGCACAAGTTTAGAAGATAATGCCTCAAATCTGAGGCAGCTGGCGCTGAAGGGACAGAGAAGCGAAATTAAACCAGTTCTGTGGTGTTTGGATCTGTAGCGTTAGCTTAGCGAGCAGCTACAGACCCAAACAGAGCCACACACCACAGTACAAGTTTGATTCTGACTAACTGCTTCTCTGAAACAAGTGTAGATGATAAAAACTAATGTCTGAAAGAGCAAATGGAGTGACCGGCGTTGGAGTGACAAAGCTGAAACCGACCATGTTCTGTGGTCTTTGGGATGGTAGCAGCTTGACTAAGCTAACTATAGCTTTGTTAGGAGGCCAAACGTGCCACACAGCACAGCGAAGGCTCGGTTTCAGCTAACTGACGCTGAAATGTTGCCCGTTTAGAGGATATCTGAGGTGCAAAGTTGAGTGACTGGTGTTAGAATGAAAGCTGAACGTGGAGAGTTAGCCGTCACAGAGCCGCTAACATGCTAAGTTTTTCTAAAATCTGATTCTTTCCCTCTTTCTATCAGCACTACCAGTCAGTAAGCTCCTTTAAAACATAAAGGGTGCAGTGTGTCTATTTGGTCATTCAGACGATGGTATTTCAGAGTTATGATGTCAAATTTCTATTCTGCGTCGTAATTGTGACCGTTACACTGCCCAGCCCCATTACACTAAGTGAAGTTTTAGATGAGGGATGAGGAATCGAGCAAACGAAAGTTGCAGCCTGTCTCATTTTCCCATCTTAGACTTCCCCAGAATGGTGGTCAGTGCTGTTTGCAAGTTATGACAATAAAATACTTTTAAAATGCCTAATATTTCAAAAGCATACCATTTAATTTGATACGTTTTAAGTTGCAAAGTACTTCATCTCTTTTTCATGACTACTGATACAACTACTAAAGGCTATAAAAAAAAGAAAAAAAAAGACACTACACCATGGGTACCAAAACTTACAGGCATAGAAATTAATTCTAAGTTATATAATGAAGGTTTTCGTAAATAAATAAATAAATAAATAAATTGCATTGTTGGTAAGGCTGTTGTACTAACTAATTAGTACACTGAGGCTAACCAAACCGAGCACATTCAGATTAAAAATATCCTTCCCCTCACTGACCCCTCCTCTTTTGTACTGGGACCTCTGAGGGGGTGAGTATTAAAATGAGACTGTTATGTGATCATAAACGCTGTAGACTGATGAGTTTAGATAACATAGTGACGTTACCTAACCTGTACTGTCCACTTATGATTAGATCACTCAAGACGCATGTTAATATTCTAACGTCAGGTGTGAACAGGGCCGATAATTTGTGCTGTTTGTAATGCAGTTACTGAATAATGAGCCTTTGGATGTAAAAAGCTTGGAATTTTAAGAGGCTAATAATACATTTTGATCATGAAATATATGAAGAAAGGGCCTTAAGCAAATGCTTGCTGCTTAGAGGAACAAACAACCCTGAGTGTGTTGACAAGTTTCCTTTTTTTTGTTTCGTACTGAATTTACTGTGTGTAACAGTAAGAGGTTTTGTCATGCCTCTCTCTCTCTCTCTCTCTCTCTCTCTCTCTCTCTGTTCCTCTGTCTCGACATGTCAGTTGCGTAACAGGTAATGTTACTATCTCCAGTTTCTCTTTCTCTCTTGTGTCTTTCCTTCTCTCTCTCGTGTCTTTCCTTCTCTCTCTCTCTCTCTCTCTCTCTCTCTCTCTCTCTCTCTCTCTCTCTCTCTCTCTCTCTCTCTCTCTCTTTCTTTCATTCTTTTTCTCTGTCTTTCTTTCTTCCTGCTCTCCACTATCTCCTTTCGGACAAGCTTCCTTAAAGAGTCACATCACAACGTCTATCAGCACTGCAATGCTGGGCTTACCCTCCCTCCCCTCTCCACTCCTTATCTTTCTTCAACTGCAGGTCATGTTTTTGTTCTTCTTTTCTCTAATTACGCACAGGCCCGTCTTGGATTCAGTTTAATGTTGATGTTTATTCTTACATGTAGGGGGAGTGCTGTGTTAATCTGAACACATTTAAGAGGAGTACAGTTTGAAAGGATGATATGTAAGCTGATAGAATTGTGGTGTTTTTGGGGGAAACAATGTGAATATATTCCTAAAACACTGGTTGTTATTGATGTTCAGCGGTCCGTCTCACCGTCACGCTTTGCTTTATTTGCCTTGTATGAGGATGATGATGACATATAAATCTACAATTATAAAAAAAAATAATAAAAACGAATAAAAATGTCGTGCACCAATAGGGACACCAAACTGTGGGCCGATGCTGATATCTGGCATTTTTTTATGTTTTCATGTACGTATCTGCTGATACATAAACATTTAGAAAATATATAAATTGAATAAAATGGAGATGTTTTAATTGCTTAAACATTCTGCTTTTCTATGGATCAATAACTATGTTTGAAATATTGAATTATCTGTCTGATGCTGATGTTATTTATTTATTTATTTTTTAGTTAAAACTGAAATAAGTAGCTTTACTGAGTGAGGAGAGTAAAAACAGACTAAAATCAGCTGCCTGTAAAGCCATAAATAATCTTTTAAAAGTCAGAGCCGGCGAGTTTTTCACACCACGTCATACGTCTTTACGTATTAACGTCACATGCACAGGCTCAAAAAGAAGTTCTGGCCAGATGTTTAGGTCTTAAATGATCTCAAAATCAACATTATACTGATGAAGATATGATGACAATAGTAGATCATTCACTCACATCCTCAGAAGACGTGTCCTTCACCAAGTTCTGACCTGAGTTCTCTTTAAATTCTCTTTCGGTGCGCTGACATTCGTTTGAAGTTTACTGCTGGTTGAACTCTTTAAAACAGTGTTGTGTGTTGTTGTTGATATTGAAGCTAAAGCAGCTGTTGGTGATGAAGCTACAGTGTGTGTTACAGCACACACAGCGCAGTACGACTGTTAACTCTGTTCTTACGAGTGTGAGTATCTGAGTGTACACATAAAAATAAGTTAGTAAACATTCCTCGCATGCCCCCAGCACGAACATCAAACTCAGCCTGTGATCTCTGGCTGAGTTGGAGCACGAAGGAAGATGAAGCTGCTGTGCCTTAGCCTGTCCTCTCACTCAACCCTCAGGCTAATTCACACTGCTGAACTACAGCCCCCAGTGTGTGTGTGTCTCTCTCTCTCTCTCTCTCTCTCTCTCTCTCTCTCTCTCTCTCTCTCTCTCTCTCTCTCTCTCTCTCTCTCTCTCTCTCTCTCTCTCTCTCTCTTTCTTTCTTTCTTTCTTTCTTTCTTTCTTTCTTTCTTTCTTTCTCTCTCGCGCTCTCTCTCTCGCTCTCTCGCTCTTATATCTTTCCTTCTGTCTTTCTCTTCCCTCTTCTTTATTCTCTCTTTTTTTTTCTTGTCTTTCTCATTTCTTTCTCTCTCTCTCTCTCTCTCTCTCTCTCTCTCTCTCTCTCTCTCTCTCTCTCTGTGTTTTTGTCTGTCTCTGTCTCCCTCTATCATCTTTCCTTCTCTTTTACTCTTCTTTCTTTTCCATTTTTCATTTCTTTGTTTCTCTCATGTCTCCTCTTTCTCTCTGTCTTTCTCTTCTCTCTTCTTCTTTCTCTTTTTTTTCTTTTGTTTCCTTCATATTTGACTGTCTTTCATTCTCTCTCGTCTTTCCATCTTCAGCTTCACACTATTGCTAAAGTATCAGTTACCCTCTGTCTCTGGCGGTGACATGTTGTTACCTATTTAGCAGCGAGGGGGGCTGAGTGCCCCTCTCCAAAAAGGATTCATAGTTTCTTTAATTGTGTCTAATTTTTCAAAAATTGGGATGAATCAGTTTAATGTGTTTATGTAAATTTGACGTGTTGGTCTTATTATTATTATTTTATTTTATTTTTTTCACATTGTAAATGAAAGTGCATCTCTGTCTCAACCTCACTTGTGACTACAAGCAGTGACCCTGGTCACTGATTCAGTACTTGGTCAGGATCTCTCTCTCTCTCTTTCTCTCTCTTTCTCTCTCTCTCTCTTTCTCTCTCTTTCTCTTTCTCTCTCTCTCTCTCTCTCTCTCTCTCTCTCTCTCTCTCTCTCAGGTTAGTTCACAGTAAGCGTGTTTACTGAACTGCAGCAGGTTGAACACAGTCACATTGTTCTCTCTGATCTGATTGAGCTTCTTCTTTCTATGCTCTTTAGAGAGACTCTGTGTTTGACTGCCTTTTCTTTTCCTTTTTTCTTGAAGGATGAAAGCATTCCGAGAAGAGGGAGACTTCAGAAGAGGTGAACGATCACAATTTATTTGTGCTTTTATTCTTTACGAATGAAAGTGTGCAGTGTGTACAGAATGTTATGGAAGCGCCCTGAGCTGCTGCAGAGCTATGTTCTGCTCAGCTGCGTTTTGCGCCTCTTTTCACTTTCAAAATTCATCACCATCACGATAAACTACGTCACATCATGCCTCAGCACCCTTATCTGACCTTATCATTGAGATCATCAGTACTCACACTCCTCCCAAATGCATTTTTCGTCACAGAGAGAGTGTTTTTAATTGGCTTTATCTCAGTCCACAGAACTTGGTCTGTTCTAACTTATCAAATGTTGGAAAAAATAAATGTTGTAACATACACTATATGGACAAAAGTATTGGGACACCTCTCCTAATTATGTTTTAGCTGCACTCACTGATAACAGGTGGATAAAATTGAGCTCGTAGTCTTGCAGTCTCGATAGACAAACACTGGCAGTTGAATGGGTCGTACTGATGAGCTCAGTGACTTTAAACATGGCACTGTCATAGGATGTAACTAAGCGCTGTTATTTTGAAAAGTAAGTGTCTAGGAGCAACAACAGCTCAGCCACAAAGCGGTTAACCACGCAGACTCACAGAGTGCAACACCAGTGTCTGACCTCACAAATGCTCTTTTGGAAGAATGGGCAAAAATTCACACAGACACACTCCAAAGAGTGGAAGCTGTTATAGCTGCCAAGGAGGACCAACTCCATATAATTGCCTATGGATTTAGAATGAGATGTTATAAAAAAACCCCTGTAGATGTAATGCGTAGGTGTCCCAATACTTTTGTCCATATAGTGTACCTTGTGTCATGAAAACATCTTGAATTTTTGTGATATTAAATTTTTGCTGTATTTACAAATAGATAACAGACAGACAGATTCATTGGTAAAAATTATATTTTGAATAGTAAAATTTTAATTTTGAGATCAAGAATTAAGTTTATACATGTGAAAATTCAATTCTTACTCAAGAATTACTCAAGAACTTCAATACTAGGCAAAATTTTAATGGGAGAATCTTTTTTACAAATAAGAATTAAATTCTTACTGTTGGTAATTAAATCCTTTCTAGTCAAAATTCAAATTTTGCTATCAAAAATGCAATTATCACTTGTAAAAAGTGAATTCCTTTAAAAAAAAAAAACATTCAAAGTTTTACGTCTCTAAATAAATGATTGGCATAGTTTTATTTTGCAAAGAAACGTAACATGTCTGACACATTTACTTTAATAACAATTTCAATTATAATCATTATCAAGAGGTTTGAATTGCTGGGGTCAGATTGAAAAATGTGATGTGTGTGTTGTGGTTTTGTTTTTTTTTTGTTTTTTTTCTTTTTGTATATCAAGAATTAAATTTATACTAGTGGAAATAAAATGTTCAAGTCTAAATTGAATTCCTCAGATCAAGAAAAATAGCCTGAAAAGCTAAAAACAGCTCTCTGTGTGAAAGTGAGCTGCAGTACTGTTTGATTAATTCCTCTCTTTTTCACCCAACAGAGAAAGTTTTGCACTTGTTAAAGGGGCGGTGCTTCTGCTGGAGGAAGGAGGGGCTCATGTTGTAACCACACCCCCTTCATATCCAAGTGATGGGCTCGTAACCACACCCCCTTCATATCCAAGTGATGGGCTCGGAGGCGGAGCCTCAGACACTCAGCATCGGCACTTACAAGCCATGGTTTCGTTGCTACGGCCGGAGGACACGGTCAAACTGGTGAGTCTCCCATCCACATGAGCAACACTGACACTGTTAAAGAAAAAGTTCAGCAAAACATTTAATTTGCATTGTTTTCTCCTCTTATGACGAAACTTAGCTCATCAGCAAAGACATTTTTGGCGTCTGCAGTTTGCTTCTGTAGTTTTGCGCTCGAGCTATGAGGCCAGTGCAGCGTAGCAATAGATGCTTATTTACACCAATTAGCATGATGCTAACTGTGTGCTTAAATCACACATTCACCTCAAACAGTGTGGAGCTGGTCAGTCATCTCAACAGCACACGTGCACTTTTACCCAGGGATTTATGGGTAAATCAACGAGAGGGAGTTAAGGGAGAACGCAAGCCGGGGGGAAAAAACCCGGTAAAGTTGTCGTATGTAAGACCTAGTACAGTACGTGGGTACACTCTTAAAAAAGAGATGGTTCTGCGAGGGTTCTTTAGTAAAGACAATGGTTCTATTTAGTACCATGACTTCTGTATAGAATCATTTTATGCTTAAATGGTTCTTTGCATGGTGAAATCGTTCTTCAGAGTGGTGGAGAATATGTTGTGTGTGTATAGTTCTATATAAAACCTTTTTGAAAATGGTTCTACAAAGCACTTAAAACAGTCTTCCATTGTTATAGGCTTGATTGCATGACTACAGCAGAACCCTTTTTGGTGCTGTATAGAACCGTATACAACACATTCTTCATCAAGTTTGAAGAAACGTTTCACCATGCAAAGAACTCGTGGTTCTAAACAGAGCCATTTCTGTTAATGATACTCTTAAAAAAAGATAGTTATTCAAGTGTTTTAAAGGAATGGTTCTGTTTAGAACCATGAGTTCTACATAGAAATATTTAACTGTGCAAAGAACCAATTTAGCATGAAATGGTTCTATATAGAATTTATGGTTCTATATTGAACCATTCCCTTTACTAAAAAACCCTTGAATAACCATCTTTTTAAAGAGTATAATTCATGGGAAATACAGTGACGTCTAGATTGCAGCTGACAAAATGTGATGTTTGTGATAAATTTGTTTAATGTTACGGTTTTTAGATTTGTTTTGCAAGTGAAAACCTTGCGTTTTTAGGGCCTATTTAGGGCTGATAATGTATGAAAAGGACTTAAGACACTGTATAATACACTGATATCTATAAACATGGACTACATTATCATAGCTAAACACAGGAGCAGCCTGAATTTTGTTTGTATTTTTGCCCATTTTTTTTGGTTACTTAACCACTCAACATGGTTTAGACATGCACCATGCTAATTGGTGGGGCATAAGCTAGTATTACCTGTTAGCTACATTAGTCTTATAGCTCCAGTGCAAAACTAAAGAAACAAACTTCAGACTTATGTCTTGGCTGATCAAATATATTTGGGCCCAAAAGGGGAACACTGTGTAAATGTGTATTTAAGCAGTTGATAAAGAACTCGGACACTGTATGAGAGCAAGTGAAGTGCTGAGTGTCTCTGTCTCGCTCAGGCCGTGCGGTTAGAGTCTGCAAGTGCGGTCCGAGTCAGATATTTGCTGATAGTTGCAACGTCCAGTCGCAAACAGGAGAGTCTACTGCTGGGTATGGACTTCCCCAGTATAAACAGGTAGGGAAGAAATAATTATTATATTGTTTTTACTATATATTTATTATTATATTATTATATTAATGCATTATTATTATTATTATTATTGTATATATATTTTTTCAATACAAATACATCATACAAACGTAAAGGTAAAAATAACCTACCATGAAATTGGAAGTGCACACATTTGCAGATTGTTCTCTTTGTGCTTTTGACAGTGTTCTTTATTTTGTACTACACACTACACACGAAGATGGTTCGTCATGGGTTCTTCAGTAAAGTCAATGGTTCTATTTAGAACCATGAGTTCTATGTAAAACCATTGGCATGCAAATGTTTTTTGCATGGCGAAATGATTCTTCAGATTAATGGAGAATTTGTTGTATATGGTTCTATAAAGCACCTTCTATTGTTACAGGCTCAACTTTCAAAATGGTTGTATACAAAACCATATGCAACACATTCTGCATGAATCCGAAGACGCTTTTCACTATGCAAAGAACCATTTAGCATGCAAATGGTTCTAAATAGAACCATTGCCTTTACGAAAGAACCCTTGAAGAAACTCCTGTTTGAAGCATATAAAGATGACACCGTATTTATGTCACCATTGAATGTCAGTAGAAAATACTAGATTGAATTTTAGGAAAAAAAAATAACTTGAGTCCAGTCTGACTCTATAACAGATCTGGACTGAAATAGCTCATATACAGTGTGGTCCAAAAGTCTGTGACCACATTACAAATCTTGTGTTTTTTTTTTTCTCCCATTTGAACCTGAAAATAAACATAGTTTATCCAGCCCAAATAAATATTATATACAACAAACCATTTTATTGCTTAGAACCTTATAAATAAAGAACATCAGATTGGTGTTGGTCTGAGACGATACTCAGGGTTTCAGGTCACCTCATAGTGATTTTACAGCAGTTTTAAAAGCCTGTCTGCTCTTTTACACAGTTCACAGTTTGCAAACTGTGACTAAAGCTTTGCTCTGCTGTTACTGTGTTCTCCTCTGAGTGCTCAGAGTCTGTTTAGTGTTTTAGAAGCACATTTTGGTGAGTGCGCTCTTATTTGCCATTTAACAGAACACTGTGGTTGCTGTTTAACTTGCAGTGTATTACTTCCTGAACAGTGTGGTTATAAAGTGAGAAAATCAGCACAGTATGAAGAGTTTACTCATCTGTTTAACCGATTAGATCGCTGTCACAACCTCATAACATTTGCAAGCCTTCTTTTTAATTTTTTAAAGTTTGTGATGAACAGACCAACAGAAATGACCTAACATTACATGATATAAAACTTAGTTACATTACTGTAAATCAGGAATGTTATCTTGTGAAGTTGCCATTTCAGAGATACACTACATGGACAAAAGTACACATCACACCTACAGGAGCTTTTATGACATGCCATTCTAAATCCATAGGCATTGATATGGAGTTGGTCCCCCTTTGCAGCTATAACAGCTTCCACTCTTCTGGAAAGCTTTAGGATTTTGGAGCATGTCTGTGAGAACTTCTGCCCATTCATCCAGAAGAGCATTTGTGAGGTCAGACACTGATGTTGGACGAGGGGGCCTGGCTCACAATCTCTGTTCTAGTTCATCCCAAAGGTGTTTGATGGGGTTGAGGGCTCTGTGAGGGCCAGTCAAGTTCTTCCACACCAGACTCACCCAGCCATGCCTTTATGGACCGAGCTTTGTGCACTGGGGCTCAGTCACGCTGGAACAGAAAAGGGCCTTCCCAAAACTGTTCCCACAAAGTTGGCTGCATACAATTGTCCAAAATGTCTTAGTTTGCTGAAGCATTAAGATTTCCCTTCACTGGAACTAAGGGGCCTAGACCAACCCCTGAAAAACATAACATTACCCAGACTCATCCATCACACTGCCAGATAGAGAAGCGTGATTCGCCACTCCACAGAATATGTTTACACTGTTCCAGTGGTCCAGTGGCGGCATGCTTTACACCACTCCCCCTGACGCTTGGCATTGTGAATTTTGACCTTAGGCTTTTGTGTAGCTGTTCAGCCATAGCTTCAGCACTCAACGGCCCTCACTCTGAGTTTGCGTGGTCTACTGGTTCGTGGCTGAGCTGTTGTTGCTTCTAGACGCTTCCATTTCACAACAATAGCACTTACAGTTGACAGGGGCAGATCTAGCAGGACAGGAATTTCACAAACTGACATGTGGCAGAGGTGGCATCCTATGACAGTGCTGTGTTTTAAGTCACTGAGCTCATCAGCACGACCCATTCTACTGCCAGGAAACACTCACCTGGTTTTTCACAAAAACTATGTCATTCTGCTGAGCACCGGAGGCTGAAGAAGTCCACTTCATATGCCCTGTGTGAATGCTCATTCCCCAGCCTGGGCCTGCTTGAAGAGGTGGGCTTGTGCACGGTTCAGTCGTACTCGGGCACAGCACGCATCCAGATTGCATTAGATTTATTTTAGACTCATTTTGCAGTTTTACAAATAGGAAAACTAAGTTTAATAAGTATTCACAATGTCCACTTATACAGTTATAAAAGAGAAAAAGTGCTAAATGCATCATAAGAATGCCAACCATTCTGTAAATCTTCATTTAACATTCTTGTAAAAAAGGAAGGGGTAACATTCGAAACAGTTCTCATTTTTAGGATCGGTGCTTTCCTCGTGTTCTGTTGCTTAATTGCATCACAGATATACAACCAGTATCATCCTTATCTTAATCATTCTGTCCTCTCTCTCTCTCTCTCTCTCTCTCTCTCTCTCTCTCTCTCTTTTTCTCTCTCTCTCTCTTTTCCTCTCTCTCTCTCTCTCTCTCTCTCTCTCTCTCTCTCTCTCTCTCTCTCTCAGTGATCACTGCACTATTGGCCTTGTCTTGCCTATATGGAGTGATACACAGGTGTATTTGGATGGTGATGGGTAAGAATATTCATCATTTTAACAGAAATCTGACTGTGTGAACAGAATATTTTTTCTATAATTTATATTTTTACTGTTATTTCTTTTCAACTATAATAGTTCAGCTTTTCAATGTTTTGCTTAGCTTCTGTGGAAAAGCAGATTTAGTATGTAAAATGAAAGCCTTATTTATATGCGTTGTTGTTGTTGATCAGTAGAAGTAGTAGTAGTAGTAGTAGTAGTAGTAGTAGTAGTACTAATTAAACTATGAGTACAAGAATAACATTTGAACATTATAAAGGGTAAAAATGAATCAGTTCGCAAAAAAGTGTGCACATGTGCGTGTGTGTGCTGGTATAATGGTCTGCTGTCCAATCACTGCTTGTTAGTATATATAGTTTATGTATGTATTGTACACACTCTTGTTGAAAAATGTATCATTTATCATATTGTTGTAAATTATTGTGTTGTTAATATGTATTGTTTCTGTATTAGGATGTCAGATAAATAATTCATATTCCATGTAATTCTTAAGTAATTACTTAGACTAACTGCTTATTTTGCTCCTCTTTTCATTTTGTCTCAGTGGTTTCAGTGTAACATCTGCAGCCGTCACAAGGACATTCAAGCCTGTGTCTATACAGACAATGTGGTGAGTGAGTTCACATTGGAGCCCTAAAGCTTCATTCAGACTGCTATTATATTATATTATATGTTGTTGTTATTATTATTTATTATGGTTAATATTATTGTTATACTGCGCTGGGGTGGCACCACACCTCCAAAAGTGGGGGGATGAAACTTACTGTTCCAAAAAAAATAAAAACTCTGGCTGAGTGATGAAATGTAATTAGACCTTTGACTAAAACTGCCTTTCATGTAATGCTAATAGCATGTCTCCATAAATCTGTTAATAAACATTGTCAGTGTTTGTTTTGGCCCTATACTTCATGGGGTTCAGCCTCAGATAGCAAACCCTACTAGCTAACATCTCTGAAGAACATCAGTTGTTTTCGTACCCAGTTCATTTCGTCTCCCCAGTACTTCGAAAAGTGGTGGGTCAGAAGCTCCCTCAATGCTGTGGTGTGCTTATTTAAGATCACTTGTGTTACTCTCGCCTAAGTTACACACACATTCAGTTGTATACAAAAGTCTTAACACCCCCAGTCAAATGACATGTTAGATTTTTTTAATGAAAATAAATTAACAGAAAACACACCTTTTTATATGACATTTTTATATCCCATAATATACATTATATGTACATTGTATTATACCCCACACCATAACTGTGTGTGTTTGTGTGTGTGTGTGTAAGGTCCGTGCTGCAGGCTCTGCACGGCTGCTGTGAGCGTGCGATGCGAGGGGCCGTTATCCCAGGCTGTGGGCTGGACTGGGCGACTCACTACCGGCGGCACATAGAGTCTGACCGGCACTGCCTGAACGAGTGGATGGCCATGACCGGCCTGGAGTCCGTCCGCAAGGACAGCAAAGGCAGCTCCACCGAGAGAGAGAGTGTGGAGAGAGAGATCAAAACTCAGCTCAGGGACATCATGAGAACTGAAGACCTGGAGAACATCACCTCCAAACAGGTAGACAGAGAGACAGACAGACAGAGAGAGAGAGAGAGAGAGAGAGAGAGAGAGAGAGAGAGAGAGAGAGAGAGAGAGATTTTTGCCGTTTACACAGTGTCAACCGAGCAGCTGTAGCTTTCTGTTAACTTCCGCTAGCTACATTAGCTGCAGTGTAAAAGTAAGAAGCGAATTTCAGACACTAAACATCTTATAATGATTGACTACATTTGAGTCATGAGGGAAAAATGTATATTTATTTATTTACTTATTTATTTTTTTGGACAAATACATCTTTTGAACCATTTCCAACAACTAAAGTTAGTATGCTACAGACGTTGTTTTGATTGGTCTAAAGTGGTGAAATTTTGAATAGTAATGCCAGCATCTAACCATACTCATTTTTCAGTTACTTGTAATTTTAATACTTCTTCAGAATCCTATTGGGATTATATTTTAAAAACGTTCACAAAATAAGTCCCACATGACCCAAAGACTGAATGCAATGTTGTAAATTACATGATAAATTAAATATTATCTGTATGGTTTGATTGATTTTAAAATATTTTTCAGGTTTGTGCTCAGAGAACATATGGACGAAAGGAATTTTTTTTAAAATTTCAGCTACGGTCCTTAATGGGTTAAACAGAATAATAAAGAAAAATGCTTTTATGTGTGTTTTGTATAGGTCCGATCTGCTCTGGAGGAGAGGATAGGCATAGATATGAAGAACTACAAGGAGTACATTGACAATGAAATGATGGTCACCATGGCACAGATGGACAAACCATCCAAAATATTAGACTACCTTTTTCTGGTAACCAGCACACTCACACCTCCATACATAAGAACTGTAGAGAATTTCCACTCAGTGGACACTAGAGGGCACTAGTGAGTCCAAAATGAATGGGAGCCTGTGGAGATTGTCCAGCAAATTTCTTAGTACAGAATAGGAACTCATAATGCCTAAACTACCTAAAACCTATTTGTATAAATAAATCAATAAATACACACCAATCAGCCATAACATTTGAAATCACTTCCTTGTTTCTACACTTATTGTTCATTTTATCAGCTTCACTGAACATATAGGAACACTTATTAGTACTACAATTACAGACTGTAATGGTCTTCAATGGTCAAGACCCTCACAGGACCACCACAGAGCAGGTATTATTTGGGTGGTGGGTCATTCTCAGCACTGCAGTGACACTGACATGGTGGTGTTTTAGTGTGTGTTGTGCTGGTGCAAGTGGATCAGACACAGCAGTGCATCTTAATTATTAGTTATTTTGGTTAGACAAATTTTAGACATCATAAAATTTCGACATGGTCTTAAAAACAGCTGGCACTTTCAGATTATTTCATGGATAGATTGTTTCATTATCATGGGCGATACTTCTGACACATTTCCCTGTACATGGAAAAAATACAAAAAGCTTAAAATGCACTGATGATAAAGAATATTCTCATAGAAATTATTGTCTGTGTTAATTAAATATATGTTACAGATGTATCATATAGAGATGAGGTTGAAAAATGCTGCGGTGTGCCTTTAACATTATTAGCCATCTGGCTCCATTCACTCCAGTTCATTGAGGACTCTCTCTGGCTCTCTGCATATTGCAGTCAGTCTATTATAATACAATGAATAAGAAGTCTGTCTAGACTCCATTAGTGTCCACTCTGCTAATGCCTCTTCTTTTTGCTTTTAATGAGGGCTCTGAATGGAACGCCGCTAACTTCGAGGAGCTTCAGAAAAACAAGTAGGCTATCAGTTTCTATAACTGTCAGTTTACTGGAGCAAAACAGTGAGATTGAGTTCAGATTCTCTCTCTGTATTATGTGGAGCTAAAAGGCTAAGCTAAAATATGTATGCTTGGACCTTTGCAGTGTGGGCTACATCCTAAATGTCACCATGGAGATCGATAACTTTTTCCCAGAATCCTTCACCTACATGAATGTCAGGGTTTATGACGTCGAGGCAACAGACCTTCTGTCACACTGGAATAACACGTACAGGTTCATCAGTGAAGCAAGGTACAGCGTGCACGAAAAATTATTAGAGTAGCTTCCTTTTATTCACCTGTTTAATAAGTTCATCATTTTGAGATATTTTGCTTTGTGTAATTGTATGTGTGATTGATCAGTGCTCCTTCGATACACTCAAAGCCACAACAGAGGTTAGAAGAGCCACAAAACTGATTTGCTTAAATCTGTTAGATTTGATTTTTTTCAAAGCAGGTTTGATTCACTTTCATAGATGCATCTAGTGACCGATAAGGGTCACTTACAGACATTAATATGAGCAGAAAGATCCAAACTGAGCAATAATTTCAGTTGATATATTTTTTATTTATTATTTTTTTTATATTGCCAGTGTATCCGACAGAAGGCATAAACAAATAACACAAGTCATATATGTGTATATGTGTATGGATAGATGGATGGAAGGATGGATGGATGGATGGAAGGAAGTCATTTTGGGCCATTTCTTTTAGTCCATTCATCATGAAATTTACACACAATGTAAAGGGCAACAGGAATCTTTAAGTTATGTCAAAAACTGAAAAACGTCAAAAATGGAGATATAAGGTCAATAAGCTTGTGTGTTTAGGGAAACACTCACAGTATAGTGATTTTAACAAACTGAGTCATTGTCCCATCAAAGCTTATGATGTGAGCGTAGCTGTGTGTGTACGAAGCTCCATGGTTTGTGTTGATGATGCAGGAAGAACGGGCAGGCTGTATTGGTCCACTGTAAAATGGGCGTGTCTCGCTCCGCCTCCACGGTGATCGCATTCGTGATGAAGCAGCAGGGCTGGTCTTTAGACCACGCCCTCAACCACGTCCGAGAGCGCCGTCCAATCGTCCAGCCCAACGAAGGCTTCCTCAGACAGCTGCAGACATACAGTGGGATTCTGAGCGCCAGGTTAGACACTTAAACGCACAACTACACACACACACAGTGAGCAGTTTGAAGTGAGAAGTTTGAGCACCCTGGTCAAATGATGTGTTGTTTTCTAAGTGAAAGTTAACATAAAAGGCTTACTAATCAGCCCTCAGTAGCAGTAATGCCAACGAGTTGGCACTCGGTAGCAGTAATTCCAGCCAATAGGCATTCAGTAGTAGCAGTAATGCCAACCAATCAGCGTCAGCCAATCGGCACCCAGTAGCAGTAATGCTAAACAGTCAGCTGTCAGCTGTCAGTATCAATCATGCTACCCAATCAGTGCACTCAGCAGTAGTGATTCCAACCAGTCAGCACTCCGTAACAGTAATGTGAGCATCCTAATGCACAAAACTGTTGTGTAAACTGTAGAAAAATGGAAACATACAGGTGAGGTTTTTTTATTTATTGATTGTGTTTATTTAGTTATTATTATTTATTTTTTTTATATGTAATACAGCCTATTACCTATTTAAATTTAAGAAAGCTTCCACAGTGTTTCTGTCTGTGCTGTGTGTTCTGCAGTAAACAGCGTCACAGCGCCCTCTGGAGGCGGAGGTCCAAATCAGAGACCCAGCAGACAGACGCCAAACAACAAGACCGGGGCACAGAGAGCGAAGGAGAACAAGGAGACGATGAAGAGGAGGAGGACGAAGAGAGCCCAGAGGAGGAAGAGAGCTATGAGGATGAAGGAAAAGATGTAATGGCGCATATTTATTCATGTGAATCTGTCAAATTTTCATTGATCTTTTCATTGACATTAGTCTGTTCTATTGAATATCTTTAAAATATCTCTCTCTCTCTCTCTCTCTCTCTCTCTCTCTCTCTCTCTCTCTCTCTCTCTCTCTCTCTCTCTCTCTCAGGTGTTTGAAGAGCCAGTGCCTAACAGTATCCCTATTCCTACAGTGGAAGAGACAGTTAATACTTTAAACCCTCTAATTAATATCCAGGAGGTCAGAATAATCTGAATTTCTTTTGTATTTTGCTGCCAGATGTTTTATATACTACAACATTTTGACTTTCTCTAACAGAGAGAGATTTTGGGCTGCTCACTGTGCCTCTAGTTCATTATAAAACTGCCCAGTCATAAGAAGTGTTTGGTCCTTGGCTGCTTTTTGAATGAAGCACAATACAGGGCAGCTAATCAGAACACAGATTATTTACATTAAATCAGTCTTAAAGGCACTGTTTTTCAGTGGTCATTTAAAAATGAAGTATAATTGTTTTTGGTACCACCAAATGTTGTAAGTGGACTTCACGGGAGGGTAAAGGGGTGGGGGGGGGGATAGAAGACAAATGGAGAAGGTGGGTCCTTGAAAAAAAAAAAAAAGATATTTCCCAAAGAATATCTCCCATTAACCTCCACATTTCCTTTGTCTTTCTTTCTCAGGTGTGTTCGAGTCCCAGTCCGAGCAGAAGCGGCAGGATGGACCTGTTTTCCCTCATGCAGTCCATCCAGCTAGATGATGAGGAGAGAGTGAGCGATATAGAAGTACGAGCACTTTAATAATCTAAAACTGCTGGAGTAAAGATGGACAGATATTTATAATAATGTAAGAATGAAACTGTAGTATAGCGACAGTATTTTATATAGTTGTCCCCTTACCAAGCCAAGACATGTTTGGAGTCTGAGGTTTCCTTAAACAATGACAAAATTCAGGCTTGAAGCTGACTGCTGCTGTTTTAGCTATGGTAACATACTGTAGTCCATATTTATAGATAACAGTGTCTGTATTTACATGCAAAGATTTTTGCCAATCTGATTGAACACATTCTGATAAAAGATTAAGAATAACGTGTTTATATGCACTCCACTCAACAATCTGTTGGAAAATCTCAATTTACATGCACAGTAATCTGATCCAAAATTACGTGCATGCGTAGAGAAACAATTAGTGTAGACGTTACCATGACAACGAGCAACACGTGAGTCCAGTCAGAGTGAGACGAGCAGCAGTGAGCAGTGCTTATGTTTTTAATTACTTTAAAATGATGTCAGAGTCAGGAAAACGTACTTCACATGTACTTATTAAAGAAGGACGAGAGGAAGACGTCGTGTTCTGAGACACATAAGCTGGACACCCGTCCCACCGCCATCTTTTAAAGTTCAAAGCAATCTGCAAACCAGTTTCTGCTCCCGCCATGTTGAGCGTTGTAAACTTTCGCAATGACACAAACACACTTGCGCAGAACTTACTTCAGCTTTCCATTTGGGAGTGTACTCAGGTACAGGTGTTAACACGGCTATTATTCTTCTATTTAACGAATTATTTACAGGTTCAAGCAGATAGAAACCGTGTTCCTAATGGCCTCAGTCAGACTAATCTATTCCGATTGAGGTGTATGCATGAAGGTATTCTGTTCCGATTGAGCTATTAGTCAGATTGTTAATGGATTATCAGGCTGCATGTAAACGTGGCTACTGAGTCATACAGTATCAGGAACCACACAATCAACTAGTAGAGGTACCAAACCACTCCACACAGTTTGAGGAGCATGTGATGATTTAGGCATGCAGTTAGCACCATGCTAACTGGTGGGGTATAAGCCTGTATTGCTTGTTAGCTTGTAAAACATAACACTTAATATCAGTATCATACAAACATTTGTAATATTTGACACTGTGTTCCTTGAGACTTTGTGGGAGCAGCACAGATCCGACAGGATTGCCCTTTTAACTACAGGAGAATTCCACCGATTTCTTGAATTTCTGCATATTTCAGTTGCTGAGATGTAAACAAAGTCATTCAAAGTGATTTGATGTGAGGTGAACCTACTGGCTCCGGGGGGGAAAAATGTTTCTTTGAAAACTGCTTTGCCCTTTAAGACCTTGCGTGTGCCTTTTCGCCTTCAGCATTTTTGAAAAGTACATTTGGCAAACTTATGGCAAAATTGCCATAAAACAATGTCTCAGACATCAGGCAGTGTATTCATAACCATTTCATGTAATAAGTTTCTGTGAGGGAGCTTTTAAAGGTGGACGTCTGGTTCCTATCACCACCACTGTGAACAACTCTGACTTGGAGAGTTTCTCTAGAATGAAGCATTTCACACCAAACAGCTCTGAATGACTTTAACGTCTTCACCATATTGTTATGCAGGAATTTTGAAAAATCAGTGGAGTGTCCCTTCGTATGATAGGAGGAATTGGAAGGGTTATGTTGTACTGGTTAAGTGCCGGATCGTTCTCAGCTCTGCAGTGATGCTGATATGCTAAAGGAATGTTGTGCTCTCAGTAAACTGGCTCTGATAGGGACTGTCCTGTTGATACAGGGTGCTGCCGCCCAGAGGCGATCGCCAGCACAGCGCAGACGGAGCCACAAACGGCGAGCTTTAACTCACCAGCGAGCACACGTGGACGTTTCGCCGGACCCGAGCAGCCTGAATAGAAAGCAGGACGAGACTCAGGAGCCGGTGGAACAAACAGGAGGAACAAACAGTGGTCAATGATAAAGAGGGAAGGTAGGAAGAGCTGAAGAACAGAGACACTGAGTGAGAGAGAAAGGTAGATAGGGAGCGAGGGAAAGAATACTCCTCATGATGCACACCAGTTTTATTTATCCTGCTTATCAGTTTGATTTTAATGATGTATTATGGAATAATGTTGTAATGTTTTTGAGGCTTTGAGTTCAGAGAATTTGCCACACACACACACACACACACACAGTACTGTACAAAAGTCAGAGACTCGTCATTTATTTAACCTCCACTCAAAACGGCCGTTTAGTACAAATTAATCATATTACAGTGAAAACATAACAGAATATTACACCTTATACCTTTTCTTATTTTCAGGAGACTAACTTGGTTTCTTCTTTAACTTGTACTTAATGGCTGTTTTGGCTGGGGGTAAGTAAATGAAAGGTGGTCTCTGTAGGTCAGTGCAATTCACGCACACTGAATGTGACTACACTGTCAACACAAAGCAGAACACACATGCGTGCGCACACACTCACACACTCTGCAGTAGACACTGCAGTTTATATCACAGAGCCTATCAGTCATTTTATATTTCCAATTCAAGAACTTTACTCCTGAAAGCAGAGTTTGGAAGCATCTCTGATGTCACTCTGTGCCTTTCTGCACACACACACAGCCTGAGCCATGCACTCACTCACACCTCGCTGATTTTAATGCAGTATTAGAGAATATGTAGTGAAAGGCATAACCTTGAGTGTTTTCTGGAGATAAACCCTCTCTGGCCCTGTATTACTACTAAAATTATTATTATTATTATCATTATTATTATTATTATTATTATTTAGGGCTGACCCAGAAAGCATTTTACAGACTTCAAATACTCATTGATTTTTTTTTTTTCCAAACGAATACTCGAATGCTCATTAAAAAAAAAAAACACTCTTAAAAACAATAAATATTTGAAGCCTTTTTGGTAGTCAGAACATAGTCATATGCAAAAGTAATAACTAAGGTCAAATTACATATTTTGTTGAGTTTCGAAATAACATCTTGTATAGGGAACAAACTTTAAATATGACATTTTTTCAGCAGCTTTTACTGCATCATTTCTGTTTAAAACAAAACATACAATATAATGTGCCGTAACATTTGCACAAGCAACATTTTTAGGTTTTATTTTCTTTCTATGTTGTTAAATTCGGTAAATAAACAGTTACTGTGCATTAAATTATGCAGAAGCGTGTCTCTGTAGGAGGATGTGTTCCCTTATTTACACTTAGAAAATCAACAAATACATGGAATTTGACTGGGGGTGCCCAAACCCACATGACCATGTGACTCCATTTTAAGCAGTGTTTTGGTCACACCAACTTTGGACATTACGTCAGTCATCAAAACACAAGCCCTTCCTAAAGGCCTGTGCCTGGTGACTGTTGGGTTATCAGGTTAACTGTCCCCAGTGATGGTAAACACTTGTTTACCACCACTTTGTTTATCTATTGATTTGTTTAATGCAAACTATGACAAGACACAAGTCAATGGGTTCGTTCCAAAACATTACCACAGTTTTTCTGTATACAGTTGTATGCAAAAGTTTGAGCACCGCTGGTCGAATGACATGTCGATATTCTGAGTGTAAATAAGTTACACATCCTCTACAGAGACACACTGCACATTTTAATACACAATGACTGTTGATTTTGACATGTTGGCTTAAAAAAATAAAATAAAATAAATGTGGCCTGTGCAAAAGTTGTGGTGCATTTTATATTTTATGTTTTTTTGTTATGTTAAACTCAGCAAATAAATGGAAATTGTGCACTAATATTTGCAGGAAAATGTCATATTTAACTTTTGTAGAGGAAAAATCAACAAAACATGTAATTTGACTGGGAGTGTTTTGTATACGACCGTAGATGCTTGCTATAATTTATTTTTCTATATATTAACAATAATTGTTCTATTTAAGGCCTTTGCTGATGAAATTTATGTAAGGCTGCAATTTTTGTGGCGAAGCTTCTGAATACTAAATAGAGAAACCCCGAGTATTATTGGGACCAGCCCAATAATATTATTATTATTATTATTATTAGTAGTAGTAGTAGTAGTAGTAGTAGTAGTAGTAGTAGTAGTCGTAGTCGTAGTAGTATTAATGTTTTTTTTTTTTTTAGTTTTTTCGTTTCCCATCAAATTTTTAAAAATCATGATGTACTGTGTTTTTAAATCCATAAATTCTATGCAATATGTCTGCTACACTCTTTATGTTTGAATTCTTCCTTATTTTCCTTCTTATTTTCCTTTTTTTCTGTGACTGTGAAGCTCTACGCTGCCACTTCTGGGATGATAACTACATGATTTTCCTTTTCGAATTGCATATAACATGATGTAATAAGTCCCTCAGATTTATCACTGATCACGTTTCACACAGGAAGTATTTGTACTACTGCGCAGCACATTACCGCAACAGCTGTCCTGTCTCTGATCTCTTCGCGCACACGTTTAAACCAGAGAACTTCAAGCTTGTAAATATCAGAGAGTTTAACCTTCTGTCCTGTTTGGGAGACAAACCCTGAGAGCGAGTCATTTGTAAATGAACATTGTAAATGTTCTTTCCAGACGTGCCATAATTTAGATGTGACTCACTGAATGCTTTCTGTCCCACAATCCTGCTGTCTCAGTGCCTTTGGTTTAGGAAGGTGGACCAAAATGACACGTTTTTGGAGGTTTTATTGTGTTATTTATATATATATATATATATATATATATATATATATATATATATATATAAAATCATGATTGTTTTTACCAGTTGCACATGTTTCAATACCAGCCAAAAGTTTGCACCCACTTACAGAAGAGTTTTCATTTATTTTTACTATTTTTAAACATAAAAACAATAAAATAAGATTCCAAGCTATGGTAACACTATAATAACAGGCCACTATAAATAGCACCTTAATTATTTTCAAGTAACTTGTTAATGATGTATTTTGGAAACAATAAATAAAAAATAAAAATAGGTGCCTGATTAATAATGCCTATTATTTTTTTGAAAGTATATAATCACATAATAATGATTAAATAAGCATTAAGGAGGAGCATCACAAATTATCAGGATTGTAAAAAACATAAAAGATTTAAAACAAGATGTACACAGTTCATCAATTATTATGAAATGTTTTATGCAGCTAAATAAATGCCATTTCAAGTTATATAATTGTTGAAGTAGGAGTATCAAATGAGAATCTTTAACAAACATTTTTAAAATACTCACTAATTGGAGCTGAAATTTCATGTTAAAATAAGTTCATCCTCTAGAGAGAACACACTTTAAATAAGACTTATTTTTCTGCCATTACTTTTGCACAGGCCAAATTTTGTTTTATTTTTTCCCCCCAATATGTTTAATTCAGCAAATAAACAGACGTTGAGCATTAAAATATGCAGACGTTTGTTCTCTGTAGATGGTGTGTTAACAATGTCATGTGACTAATTTTTTGCATTTAAAACTTTTATTTTGGAATAATTTCATAAATAGCAATCAACTACTCTATTTAAATTTGCCTTGGAAGTAAATATGAAGCATAAACCTTTTTTAAGATTCTAAGACGTACATTCAATCAGGTGTGCACAAACCTTTGGCAGGTACTGTATGTAACCGTATGTACTGAGTGTCTGATGTCATTTTATTTTTTGATAAGGAAAAAAGCTGTTTTAAGTAGCCGACCATGTGTGCATGCTGTATGTACTGTTGGCCTGCCTTTATGACCAAGCATGTCACTCGGGTATTTATTGTGTGTGTGTTTTGTGTGTGTGCGTGTGTGTGAGAATGTATTTTTTTGGCAATACAGTATTTCTGCTGTGTTCTGTAAAACATGCTGGTCAGAAAGAGTCCAGAGCAGACAGAGAGACCCTGTTTATACCTGGTTACTTCATGTGTCTGGTATCTGGATTGTATCCTGATAAGATTTTAGCCACATGCATTTACTCTTGGTAGTCAAATGCGCCGGATAAGCCAGGCATGCACTGAGCTGACTGAATTTCATGATCAGGCCGAATTTCAGCTTCGTTTGCCGTGCAGTGTGAGGGCGGGGAGCGATGCCCGATTGCCCAAACGAGCTCAGATTAAGCAGTTGGACAATCAGATGGATTTCTGACGTAAGAAATTTTGGTTGCTTGTCTTACAATTTGAGCAGTTTCATGAACCGAAGTCGCACCCAAAACCACACACAAACACCACTCCTATGCAGGTAAACTGAATTGTGAGAGATATTTATATATCATCTTTGTCTGTAGAGCACCTGGGTTTTAGTTATGAGTGCACAGTATTAAGGGTCATTCTACAGAAACGTCCACTTTTTTATCTTTCCATAGGAGTCACTGGTGTTACACATAAGAAAGGTAACACCAATGACATTTTTAATAAAAATGTGTCTTACAAAATGGCTACTACAGAGCCTCAAACCACATGTTGTCAATCATGGAATATCCACTAAAATATGGAATTTAATACATTTGTATTCCATTTTTTCACAATTACCTAAGAATAAAGTAGGTCACACCAGTGACTTCAACTAAAAGCTTCATATGGGATCATGAGCTAAATGAGAATTTCTGATAACTGAAAAGACACACTGGACTTCCCATGTGCTTTTCTTCATAGATCATCAGAAAAGAGATAAAAGGAAGTCAAGTGTTGTCATCAGTGTGATTTTTATTACAAAATAAGAGATTTTTTGTTACACAGTAACATCAGTGACATGACTCCTGGGGACAACAACTTTCATTATATATATTTTATAATATTTATTTGCCATTTGTTTTCTTTATGTAATTGAAATAATATATTTCATAGTCATGTACAGATTATTGCAGTTAAAATTGCCTCAAAAAATAAAATTACCTCAAAATATGGCCTCACCCTTTACACATGACTGTGAGGTTGAGCACTTCTGTAGTGCTTGGAATTCTGTATAATTGATTTAAAAACCAATATTGCTAAATTGATGGCTCGAGAAGGTGTAATTGTAAAAATAACATTGTTTTATTTTAAAATATAAATAAATTGTAACTCTAACATGTTTTTCAAGTGTAATGTATCTGTAAATGCTAGGGACACAAAAATGGACGTTTCCATAGAATGACTCTTCAGCCTCTTTGGCTGTAGTTTTGCACAGTAGCATCTGTCCATATTGCTATTAAGCGTTCTTTTGTTCTGGTCCCCAACCATCTGTCCTCCAAGACTGTCTTCCTTAAATACACAGATCACGTGTCCAGTGATGTACTGCATAGGGAGGGGTTTTGGTTGGTGAATGTGTCTTGGAGAGACGGATACACTATAACATGTGGCTCCAGTGCATCTCAGTCCATCTTCTGAAGCGGTTTGAGTGATCAGATCTGTATCTGTTTTTAAATCCCTTTTTGGTACATTTACACATTTTTATATCATCCAAATATAATCCTGATACTCAAGACCAGTATTGTGGTAGTGACCAGGTGTAAACAGGGTCAGGGAGACCTAAATCAAACCAAAGTAAACCCATGCAGTGTCTAATGTAACGGCACCTGTTCATTCCTAAAAGAGAAGAAAACGCTTGTTAAAGGTATGTATTCAGTGTGTCGGAGTGAAAAGAATGCCTGTTGGACTTTTCAGGTGCATTTCCAGATGTAAATAATGCAGAATTTGTGCCATATGTAATTGAATTTAGTAAAAATCAACATATCCCAATGCTGTTTTTATGACTGTCGTTGGCATCAGACCTTTCGGAGTGCACCTTTTAAAGATTATGTACTGGTTGCTGTTGCTTTTTTATTCTATGTATCTTTCTTTTCTGGAAATGTATCATCTTTTCAGTTTTATCTTTGATCTGTTGACCTCTTTGCTGTACAAACTAATAATAAATATATGAATTCATTAAAACAGTAGAGGCTGCAGTTAATGAGTGAATTGGTTATGGGCTGAAACAGATTAAACCTGATGCTGGATTAAAAGGGAATTCCACAAAATGTAGCAGAATTTCTGCATAATTAAATGGTTGAGATGTAAACATAGTCATTCAGAGTGGTTTGGTGTGAAATGCTCCATTCTAAAGAAACTTACCGAGTCAGAATTGTTCACGGTGGTGATAGGAACCAGACGTCCACCAGTTCCCTCACAGAAAGTTAATACATGAAATGGTTATGAATACACTACCTGATGTCTGAGACATTGTTTTACAGTAGTTTTGAGGTTTTGGCCTAAAACATAATGGTGAATATTCATGAAGGGTGTTGTGAGGCAAAATAGTCCCCAAAGAAAACTTTGGATTTTCCGCTATTTTGCTGATTATGCTCACTTTTTAGTCAAACATGCATTTGGACAATGACGTTTAAGTACTGACGGTATCCACGGTATGTTCAGAAAAGTATATTGTTATGTAATTTATCACAACAATGACAATGCTGTCATATTAGCCAGCTCTAATTTTTCACTGGTGGTTTTGGATAGTAAATAAAATGTCTATATTTGTGTTGTACTCAAGGCTACCTCTGATTGCTATTACCACCACTGTAAAAAAATCTGAGTCAGCTGTTTCATACCAAACCACTCTAACCGACTGTTTACATCTCAATGATGTAATCAGTGGGGGAAAAAAATAAAGTGGAGTAATTAAAACAGCAAAACTGTAAATACAGGGTGATTCAAAAAGATGAATCAGATTTGCCATATTTTTACAACCGTGAGGCACCTAGGAACCAATCACATACCAATTGAAAGAGGGGGTCACTGTCACCGGAAGATGGCTCCCTTCAGTCTGCGAGGAGATGGAGACCCCTGAGCAGAAAGCGTTTTGTGTTCTCTACTTCAATAAGAGTGAATCCATTATAACTGTGCAATGTGACTTTCCGCGGCAGTGAACCTCGAACAGCTCAGTATTCATTGTTGGTTCCACAACACTGGATGATCTCCGAAATCACACTGAAAGAGCCGTGAGTACAGTAACACCCAACATGCTCAATCGAGTATGGGATGAATTTGACTATGGTGTTGATGTTGTCCGTACAGCTGGAGGAGGTCATATTGAGCACTTGTAAAATTACATTTTTACCTTATGCTCACTTAAACCATTACAATTTACTGCATTGTTCTGTAATGATTTACAAGTGAAATAAATCATTTTGAAATCAGATGAATCTTTTTGAATCACACTGTACATCATTTAAATTCATATTTAGGCTTAAAAGAGGCCAAGATACAAATGGTCAGGTTATCTGATGAAACATTTGCTTATTTAATATGTGTCCAAGTTCAACATTTGTAGTGGGCTGATGGATATGCTGGCTGTAAAACACCAAACCAGTAGGCAGGTTTCCATCTATGCATTTTTAGGAATATTTTAACATATGTAATAAAAAAGCATTATGGGAAGTCTGTACACCTGTTTGAGGTGTATACATTTTACCATTAAAAAAAAGAAACTGCGACAAACACATTCGCCGAATAAATAATGCAAATAGATTGGCTCATAGTCCGGGGGCACCCCAGTCAAATTCCATGTTTTTGTTGATTTTCTAAATGAAAATATTTTTGAGTGAGTTAATGAAGAAAATAAAACAAAACTGTTTTAATAACAAGAAACAGTGATGTTTGACAGTAATACAGCCATAAAACAATGAGAAGTTGTTTAACGTTAAAGATTTCCTAGTAAACCGGGTTCATATTTCTCTGCTGTGAGTTTACAGATGTGATGTAGAGAGTTTTATTCTCCTGTACATGTGTGATGTGTTTACTTGAATTTAATTCAACAGCTGGATGAAAACCTGACTAATGTCTGTTGTTAATAATAAAACTGTTGGCTGATTTTTTTTGTGTGGTGTGCATGAATTACTGAGTGGATACTTACAGCTAAGTACATGTGCAATTGCAAATTCCAAATGATGAGTAAAATTTAGATTTTGAGCATCTCTCAAATCGTACCCACAAACCAGGAAAATGAATGACCAGTGGAGAGGTGGGGGAATATGTAACTACAGTAAAGATGAGGTGTGGTCACATAGATGTTTATTCAGAAGTCTAGGCAAGTTATAAAAGGAAAAAAGAAAAAAAGGTTTTAAATAAATTTGCGCCGTGGCTCACTGAGGATCACACCCCCCTCCTTCATGGCTGTCCAAAAGCTCTGGACCTGAAACAAAGAACATTAATGCAATTTTAAATAGAGCTTAGTTTCATATAAAGCTGACACCTTTAAAGAGACCATTATTTCAAAATTTCTGGATAATTAAACAGTTAATATGTAAACAAAGTCATTCAGAGTGGTTTGGTGTGAAATGCTCTGTTCTTGAGAAAACTGTTCACAGTGGTGGGAACCAGACGTCCACCTCTAAAAGCTGCCTCACAGAAAGTTACTACATGAAAAGGTTATGAAAACACTGCCAGATGGCTTAAAATTTTGTTTATGATAGTTTTGAGAAAGTTTTGGCCTAAAGAGGTACATGCAGATCATTTTCAGGCAAGACAGTCCCCAAAGAAACCTTTTTCCCCCCAGATTTAACACTATTTTACCTAGAGGTGGGCAATATGACAAAATGTAATATCACGATACTTAGGGAAGTTTTATATGGTACGCCATATGTCACGATATTTATTTTTCTGACATCTGATGAGGGAGAACAGACAAAATAGTACCCATTTTAGAAATACCATCAAAACCTATGAATCCAATTATTGGTATTCAACATCACACACTGTGCTACACTAAATCCAATTAAACAGGGCTTTTTTTGATTAAAAAGTAAAAAAATCACTTTTTAATCAACATGTAGGTGGAAAAATAATTTTACAAGTACTGATGATATCCATGATGCTCAGAAAAGCATACTGTGATGTAATTCATCACGATAACAATGAATACTGCCAAATCGCTCAGCTCTAACTTTGACATCAACATTTCATATAAAGCTCAGAAGACACATGTAGGTTCACTGGTGGCTTTGGATAGTAAACAAAATGGCTATATTTGTGTTGTAGTCATGGTGACACCTGGTTTCTATCACCACCACTGTGAAGAAATCTGAGTCTCTACAATCATGAATTGTATTGTATATGGAATGTTGATGATGGTAAAATAGTGGAAAATCTGAAATGAGTTTGCTTCGGGGACTATTCTGCCTCACAACACTCAGCATGTACTTCTGGCTCCTAAAAATTACATTTCAGGCTAAAAACCTCTCAAGAATATCGTAAAACAATGTCTTAAGGATCAGCCAGCCATTTATTTATGCAAGAATTTTGAAAAACTGATGGAATTCCCCTTTAATCCCTATTTAGGAAACTGGCCTTGTGTTTTTTATTGTGCTTTTTGGGGTGATAAGTAAATTTTCAATTGAAAATAAGGCCTTTTGGTCTAGTAAGAAAAAAGGTCTAGCTGTGACATTTAATCATCTGTCTCATCTCTGAAGAGCACAGACTCACCGCCTCTGTACGAAAGGCCCACGGTACTTCACGATAAACCAGATGTGTGATGCCAGCCTCGCAGCATCGCTGGGCCAGAACCACCCCCACAGCACGGCAGGCAGATACAGAGCGGGTGGAGCTCAGCTCCTTCTTCAGCGCCCACTCCTGCGTGGAGCACGTGAGCACGGGCACGTTAGAGTCACGTGAGAAAACCTCAGCAGAGACGTGATGCTGCGAGCGCCGGAACACCAGCCTGAGGAGAATAGAGGGCGTCGAGTGGTCAGTTCAATCACAGATTTACCAAACATTCTACAGTTCAAAATGAGGACTGTCTAACAGAAAATGAGCCTTAACTCTCCTACTATTGGTCAGGCTTGACTTAAAGGGCCCATATTCTTTAAGTCATACATTTTTTGTTGAATTTAATTTTTTTCCCCAAAAAATCCACTACTATAATCCATTTTTACATCATCATTATCCCTTAGAATTAACCAGACTCTTATTGTGCCTGCAAGACTGATACATGTAAACGAGTCCCGATCGGCTACCCTTTATTGTGCCTCCAAAGTGAAAAACTACTTATAACTTCAGTGTGAGTGGGCGGGGCTAAACTAGGGTAAAATGTTTAGGCAGTGACACCATAAAAACAAAAATTCAAAACAAGCTATTTAGATTTAGTTTTCGTAAATGGACTGTAACTGTATGTTTTTGAGAAACTTAAACTATGTTTACATGGAGTTTTCCATGACGTGTGTCCTTTAATCAAAATCCGGATGCATTTTGGATGAGTTGAGAGATGTTTTGTGAAAGTATTTACTGAAAAGATTGGTGTGACTATTCAGTTCTATTGTTTGTTAGCAGCATTAACCTTGCAGCTATAGTTCTCAACTAAAGAAGCAAAATTTGTCTTGGCTGGGGTGAGTGTAAAACTGTACCTTAGATTTCTTGCTGAAGTGTTCTTTTATTACCAGATGTGAACTAAGCCTATTTCGCATAGCAGTATGAGAGTGCATGTTCTCAAACACACCTGTGGTGGTAGTGTTTTGTGGGCCAGACGGTGGCCCAGCCTCTGTCTTTCACAGCGAGGGCCATCTGTTCCAGATTTCTGGGGTTTCGGTTAACAAAAGTCTTACTGATGTCTTCATTATGGTTAATCTCAGGCTTATGTGCCGCCTGAGTCAAAGTCCGAGCTGAGGAGAGAAACAGAGAAAGAGACAGAGACATATCAGTGTTCCAGGTAGCTTTCTCAATGAATCATTATGAACAATTACATTTATGGATACACCCACTTACACATATACACACTCATCGAGCACTTTATTAGGCACACCCACCTTGTATCTACACTTATTGTCCATTTTATCAGCTCCACTGACCATATAGGAGCACTTTGTAGTTCTACAGTTACAGACTGAAGTCCATCTGTTTCTCTGCATACTTTGTTACCCTGTTCTTCAATGGTCAGGACCCCCACAGAGCAGGTATTATTTGGGGGGTGGATCATTCTCAGCACTGCAGTGACACTGATGTGGTGGTGCTGTGTCGCACTGGTGCGAGTGGATCAGCAGTGCTCCTGGAGTTTTTAAACACTGTGTCTACTCACTGTTCACTCTATCAGACACTCCTACCTTGTTGGTCCATCTTGTAGATGTAAAGTCAGAGAAAATAGCTCATCTGCTGCTGCACAGTTTGTGTTGGTCATCCTTTAGTCCCTCATCAGTGGTCAGGACACTGCCCACAGGATGTTTTTGGTTGGTGGACTATTCTCAGTCCAGCAGTAACACTAAGATGTTTAAAAACATCAGCAGCACCACCCAAATAATACCTCCTCTGCGGTGGTCCTGACCATTGAAGCACATCATGAAAGGGGGCGAACAAAGTATGCAGAGAAACAGATGGACTACAGTCTGTAATTGTAGAACTACAAAGTGCTCCTATATGGTCAGTGTGTATATATCATACATCAGGTTATCATAATACAATAATAAACATTTAATGTAGACAGTATTCTAAAGCATAACGTTTGAGAATATATTACACATATATAGTTCATATTTTCAACACATTTCTAGTACTTTTTTTTACATCTAGATGAAAGGCAGAAGTAGCCTGTTAATCTAGTCTGTTGCTACTATTCTGGTATCATAAAAGACACAGAAGTAAGATCTGAGTTAACTCTATTAAAATATCTACTCATTATAGGCTATAAATAAATATAGGTCTTTTAATAAAATTAACACAGATCCACTCACTGGAGTAATGGGAGTCTCCTCTCTCCTCACTAGGTTGTTCTAATACATTGTTTATTTAGTACAACAAATCCATAAAATAACACCTTTATCATAATAATGATAATAATAATTCTAATAATAATAATAATAAAAGTCCCCTCTATGTCCTCACCTTCACTCCAGCCGCTCTGCAGTCGGACTCTCCGGAGCAGCGCAGCTACGAGCGCCATAATTCACCACCCACAGACTAAATTTAATAACTGATTTATTATAATGATAATATCATACAGCGGTTTCTGCTCCTCTACATTAAACCAAACTAAATTAAATCACACGAACACACCACACAGAGAACTGCGCGCAGCCATTTTCACAGCTGGGTTACACTCAACCTGACCGTGTGGCAGCACTGCTCGTTTTACAGACGTTCCGCCTAGTCACGTTACACGGGACTAATGACATTGTTATAGACTCAGATTATGCAACTTATATGTTTTAGAGTTACTTATAGTGATATATGCCCAATATCTAATATCAGTATAATCCCAAATATGATGTTTCATGTTTTTGTTTAATTTTACTTAATTTATTTACATATAATACAATACTGAGTAGCAATGTTTGTCATATACTCTGTAATCATGACAACAACAACAACAACAACAATAATAATAATAATAATAATAATAATAATAATAATAATAATAATAATAATGAGAAGAAGAAGAAGAAGAAGAAGAAGAAGAAGAAGAAGAAGAGTCCAAAAAACAAAGCCCAAAGAGAGCCCAAACATGAGAACTGTCCGTAACGTCCCTTAGCTCTTTTCCTATTGGACAGTCCTTAATAACCATTTAATGTAATAACTTTCTGTGAGGGAGCTATTAGAGGTGGATGTCTGGTTCCTATCACCACCACTGTGAACAATTCTGACTTGGTAAGTTTCTCTAGAGAACCAGTCTGAACGACTCTGTTTACATCCTAACCGTTTAATTATGCAGACAAATGTTAGACATTTTGAAAACTCGGTGGAGTTCCCCTTTAAGTTCAGTTACAGCGCAAGGCAGAATTCATCATTAAAACAATTTATCTCAGCTCGCACACTTCGCTGCTGAGCTGCTCCCTGTTTTCCAGCAGCGTGGGGTCATACCTGGACGTTAACGCGGCTGGATGTTCTGCCTGGCTTGCCTTCGTAATTCTGCAGATGTGTTTGTGTTGCACTTTTAGCAGCAGTGTGAAGGTTGTGCTCGGAGATAAAACGCACCGCTCTCCGGCCAAATGAGCTCACAAATCCCGGCTTTCAGCAAGAACATGCAGCTCCATCTGAGCAGAAAAGCAGAAGAAAAGTCGAGCTGTCCACTTTTGCCCTCCTTCAGGCAGATGAAAGGAATTGAATTCTGGCCCTGGCCTTCCTCACAGCTGTAGTATTTATAGGAAAATCGTCTCAGTATAAACGTCACAGTCTGGAGAAACATGTTCAATAACAACACGTACGTTTGGTGTTATCTGTTTTCACACATTTTGTGTCATGTTGAATGAAATATGTGTGAAAAATAGCACAAAATGTGTATATGTGACGTTTTGTCCTAAAGGGGCTAGAGTGCAGTGTGGTAGGCCAAGATCAAAAATACAAAAGAGTATACAAATAAATAAAGTGTATGTTTATTTTAAAAGAAAAAGAAAAATACGAATTTGACAAGTTATAGAAGTGTGTTTCTTCTCTTATCAGGACAGAGATAGGTAGATAGATAGATAGATAGATAGATAGATAGATAGATAGAGAGAGAGAGAGAGCGAGAGAGAGAGTACAGATGGAATAATAGAGTCGAGTGAAGTGTCTTGTTTTCAGTGAAAATGAATACAGAGGAGAAAGAGGAGGAGGGAGATAGAGGGGGTGTAGACAGACAACAAACAAAACGAGAAAGTTGAGGGGGAAGAGTGAGTGAGCAAATGAGGAAAAGAGAAGGAGAGGTAGAGAATGATTGATGGACAGAGGACAGAGAGAGAGAGAGAGAGAGAGAGAGAGAGAGAGAGAGAGAGAGAGATGTGGGCGAAGCTGCAGAGTGCCAGTGGTTCTGGTGTTGTGGTGGAGTGTTCCGGAATGTGTCAGAGATGTGTTGCTATGCAACAGTGATTCCAGGACGGTTGCCGAGACACCAGGAGAGGATGTAGACGATGACGGGGGCGAAAAGAGACAGAACCTGCAGCCCAGCCGCCCACCACACACACCTCAGCCTCAAATTAAAATGTCAAGATTTCTCAGAATGAAACATCAGACACACACACACACACACACACACACACACAGACACACACACACACACACACACACACACACACACACACACACACACAGCTCACTGTTCATAGAGACAGAACCACTTCAACACTCATACCACTAAATTACTTCATATTCTTCACACAGCTCCCTCTCTCTCTTTCTCTGTCTCCATCTCTCGCTTTCTGTCTCTCTCTCTCTCTCTCTCTCTCTCTCTCTCTCTCTCTCTTTCTCTCTCTCTCCATCACTCTCTGTCTCCCTTTCTTTCTCTCACCTCCTCTCCTACCTCTCATTTTCTCTCCTCTCTCTTTGTTTGTTTCTTTCTTGCTTGCTTTGTTTCTTTGTCTGTCTGCTCTCTCTTTTCTATCTTTTCATCTCTTTCTCTGTCTCATCTCTCTCTCTCTTTGTGATTTTCTGTCTTTCCCTATTCAGTAAAATTTAGTTAGATATTTCTACTCTTTACACCTCTCTCTCTCTCTGTCTCTCTCTCTCTGTCTGTCTCTCTTTCTCTCTCACACACACACACACTTTCGTGCTTGCGCTTCATTTACCGCATCAGTCAGTCCCCCCCTCTTCATTCCGTCTCTCACAGAGTCCAGTATGTGTCATTAAACCTTAAACTGCTTAATGAGCAGTAATCGTCCTGCAGTGCTAAACTCTGTCCCTCAAGCAGAAAATAGCCAGGGCTGATTTGGAGAGGAGAGCGATTCACACTCTCTCTCCCCACGAGAACACAGTGTGACCCTGTAACACAAACACAGACTGGATCGAGAACAGGTCATCCAGCTCAGTCTAAACCATGAGCCGTCATTAAACAGCAGTGGAACAGTTCCACTCATGACCTCTGGGTGGCAGTGTGGCCCAGCTTATAGCTCACTCAGTCTGTGAGAAAAGTGACCATTCTTTTCTTCTGTGAAAATTCATTGTGTTTCCATTTGTTTATTTTTATAGCAAAAACATTTTATTGGCAGCATAAGTCTGTAGTTCCATATAAACACTAAAACAAGACTTAAAACTGCCATAGAAACTGTGGGAGTTTTATTAGGCTGTTCAGAAATGGGTTTGAGTGTTAGCTGAGTGTAAGCACAAGGTAGGTGTTCCTGATAAAGTGGCCAGTGTGTGGAAGCACTCTAGGTGTTTCTAATAATGTGGCCTGTGAATGTAAGCACAAGGTAGGTGTTCCTGATAAAGTGGCCAGTGTGTGGAAGCACAAGGAGGGTGTTTCTAATAAAGTGGCCAGTGAGTTGAAGTACAAGGTAGTTGTTTCTAATAAAGTGGCCACTGAGTGGAAGTACAAGGGTGGGGTTTCTAATAAAGTGACCAGTGAGTTGAAGTGCAAGGTTGGTGTTTCTAATAAAGTGGCCAGTGAGTGGAAGTACAAGGTAGGTGTTTCTAATAAAGTGGCCAGTGAGTGGTAGCACAGGGTTGGTGTTTCTAATAAAGTGGCCAGTGAGTGGAAGCACAAGGAGGGTGTTTCTAATAAAGTGGCCAGTGAGTGGAAGCACAAGATTGGTGTTTCTAATAAAGTGGCCAGTTAGTGGAAGCACAAGGTAGGTGTTTCTAATAAAGTGGCCTGTGAGTGGTAGCACAAGGTTGGTGTTTCTAATAAAGTGGCCTGTGAGTGGTAGCACAAGGTTGGTGTTTCTAATAAAGTGGCCTGTGAGTGGTAGTGCAAGGTTGGTGTTTCTAATAAAGTGGCCAGTGAGTGGAAGCACAAGGAGGGTGTTTCTAATAAAGTGGCCAGTGAGTTGAAGTACAAGGTTGGTGTTTCTAATAAAGTGGCCAATGAGTGGAAGCACAAAGTGAGTGTTTCCAATAAAGTGGCCAGTGAGTGGAAGTACAAGATTGGTGTTTCTAATAAAGTGGCCAGTTAGTGGAAGCACAAGGCAGGTGTTTCTAATAAAGTGCCTGTGAGTGATAGCACAAGGAGGGTGTTTCTATTAAAGTGGCCATTGAGTGGAAGCACAGAGTAAATGTTTCTAATAAGGTGGCCATTCAGTGGAGGCACAAGGTAGGTGTTTCTAATAAAGTGGCCAGTTTGTGTGTAGAGTCTCAGTCAGTATTCCAGTGCACTGCTGTTAAGGTGGCAGTGAGAGATGTGAGTAGGTTCCTCTTTGTAATCAATTATTGAGGGACAGTGAGGCTGCAGTGCTTCATCATTATTTTGTGAGCAAATCTGCAGCAGAATCTTGCTGCACTGATGGCTCACCAGTTTTTAATCAGACAGATATATGATGATGTCACGACGTAGGTGGTAGAAACTGTCCGCTGACACATCACACCGCCTGGCAGGGGAGATTTAACTGGCTGACGCACAGCAGAAATATTCCAGGACCCTCTTTAGTTAGAGCAGATAGATAATTTCAGATGAGCCTGTCAGAAGTACAGGTAACTCAAATTGCCATTTTCATTAGGTTTGTTCAGACGTTTCCGCTGACTTTGCCCACATAGAGTAACTCAGAAGGTTAAGAGGGCCCTCCTGTTGGATTGGGAATCAGGCTGAAGATGATATTGTGTCCTTCATAAACCGACAAATTAGCATAGTAGACTTATGATAGTAATTAAAAACTAGCATGGATGGATGATCCAGTGTATTAAATGCTGGCCTTTTGATTTGACAGGTAAAGCTAAATCAGATCTACATCTAGTGGCCACTTTATCAGAAACCCCTCTCTTGTGGCTCCACTGTGCTGGTGTACAGGTAGAGAATCTTTTCGCCAACACCATAGTTAGGTAGGTGTTTCTAATAAAGTGGCCAGTTAGTGGAAGTGCAAGGTAAGTGTTTCTAATAAAGTGGCCAGTGAGAGGAAGCACAAGGTTGGTGTGGTCAATGAACATGTAACCTTAATACAGGCCAATGTTCAGCCTTTTGACCTCAATATCTCACACAATACTGGAGCAGATCGCTATGCTGAGAAATGAACGGAAAGAAACAAAGAGTAGGGACCACGTGGGACGTCTGAAAGGCAGAAATTATGTACCGTTTGCTCTCCTCTCATTTTCCCATGACCTCCATTCTCTTCTCGGCAGCAAAAGGAGGAGTGATCAAGCCTGCGATAGCTGCAGTGGTAATTGTGTGAAAATTAGAGTGAGAATTGTCTTCATACTGAGTGGTT